TATTTTCGGCGCATTGGCGGGCATTTTTGAAAAAACATGTTTATTTCTGATACAAAGTGTGATCTCACTTGTGTCTTGGGATAAATTTATTTGTATGACCCTAAGGTACTTCCATACCAAAGGAGACCTTTGCATCATGACTTGAAGTCAAAGGCCTATTTTTTGGGCTTAACCTCCCTACTATACTTTCCATTGAAAATATTTGCCAACACTGGGCAGACTTGAGCTGAAAGAGAGTCCCCCACGTCGCAAATTAGCTCTGACTTGTGCGCTGTGCACGCAGCCTATGCAAACACACTAATATCACACTCATATCAGTTCGCTGCCGAGTTTACAACACTTCTCTTGCATAACATCAAATTGATATTTGAAATATGACTCACCAAGTCAAGACAATAATGTGTGTTTAAACAAGGAAGTGCATCAGCAGCGCTTTGATCTGCATCTCACTCCGACGACAGCTTCTCCAAGGTATCGCGTCCACTCAAAAATCCAACCCTTTCTATAAATTTAGTCACTTTTCTATCTAATCACTCGTTTAATGCGGAGAGTTTCTGGAGATCGCTTCGTCTGACTCGCTCTCTCTCTCGTCTGTTGCTCACGCTGACAGAGCCGCGGGCGCGACCTGAATGCGCTGCTGCTATTGGCTCATCGAAGTGTCAGTCACTGCAGAACAATCAGTGATTGGGTGATTCTTCCGCCCCTCTAAAACACTTTTTTTTTTCAGCTTTAAAAAAAAAAAAACCTCTTAACTCACATCTTTATTGTGCGTTCAAGTCATGTCGTAAAAATCGTATATAAGAGTTGAACGCACATGAACGTCAACACAAAGTCGTACTCGTAAATACCAGTGGGAAGCTCTTTAGGCCCTGATCTTTACGAGTTGGGAGCGGAATAAAATGTAAATGAAAATTGTCATTAAAACAGAAGTGAAAAAGTTATGGCAAGGACAATGGGAAAAGGAGACCAAAGGTCGTTTTTTTATATAAAGTACAGAAGCAAGTGACTACAAGGACAGGAGGCAGGGTAGCCCTAGGAAGCGAAGGGGAGAAACGGTGATCACAAGAGTCTAAGAATTGGACATACAGGTCTCAATCACAATCTCAGTTTAAGTTTATTCACAATACCACTTCAAACATGATTACAATGATACAGTTAGGGGTACAGAATCAATTGGGTATAGTGAATGGGTCTCCCAAAGAAGCTAAGAAAGCTTATAGGTGGGGGCCCATGGTTTATGAAAGGATAGTGGTACAGACAAGGTATACACAGTTACCACCTGTAACCAGATGATGAGTAAATGCACGCAAAGCGCACCAGAACATACATAACAATACATCCATCCCAGTAATCCATGAGAAAACAGTTTTATATTAGATATAGGTTAATATGAAATGCTGATGTCTTTTGAAGTTGAAGTAGAGGGCAACACCTTGAGGCCATCATCAATCCCGTTCCAGATCTGCGGCCCCTACAGACAACACTCAAACTGGCGCACACATGTCGGTGACATTTTCCTAATATAAGTGGTTTGATTCTCGTTTGGTATGTGTGCTGGAGATAGGAACAAGACTACTCAATCTAGAGTTCAGCCTATTTACAATTTGAAACATAAGGCAGGCATTATGATATTCATTTAGCTCAGCTAGTCTTAATAACTGAATAACTCAAAGCGATAGAATAGAGGGCGGGTGGGGGAATTTACCTCTGACCAGGACAGAGTCTGGCATATTATCACATTACAGTAGTTAAGATGTGGTTCAAAGAGAGTTTTGTACAACATGAGAAGGGCAGACAGAGGAAGGAAATGTCTGATCTTATAGAACAAGCCAACATACTTTGATAGTTTGTTTACAAGATGGTCAATATGACATTTAAAGTTAAGAGAGTCGTCAATGAGGACCCCAGAAATTTAGTGGAATGCACTCTTTTTATCACCTGCACATTCATTTTAATCAGGCAGTGAGCAGTGTTTTTAAATTACCACCTGTAATTTTAGAGGAATTTATAAAATAATTTATATAATGAATAAGAGTGGCCCCAAAATGGAGGCCTTGGTTGACCCCAAATATTATGGGCTTTCAAGTAGAGTTATGATCATCGACATAGACATACTGTTCCCCCTCATATAGATAACTTCTGAACCATTCAAGTGCTAGACATCTGATACGATAGTGATGCAATTTGTGCAATAAGATATCAAACTCAATGGGGTCAAAGTCATTAATTTGTTCTATTAGGTCGAGTATTGCCATACATGTTGTGCTCTTTTTTCTGAAACCGTATTGAGAGGGGACAAGAATATCCAGTTTATCAAGATAATCACTGAGTCTATTGTATACTACTTTCTCCATTACTTTAGAGAAATTTGCATAGGGAAACACGCAACAGGATATGCATAAATTGTGACAAAAGAGAGACTGTAGAACATGTATTGCTTGAGTGTGAAGCATACAGCACAGAGAGATTCAAACTGTTAGAAAACGTCAAAGAATTAGGATATACACATTTATCAGTGGAGGGTTTACTTTCTTTTTCTACATTAAAACCATCAGCATGGCCAGTTCTCATGAGGTACCTAAAAAAAACAGGTCTATTTGATAGAATTTAAGATCAAACAATAATATATATATATTTCTTTTTTTATATAAGCGTAAATCCGCATTGAAGCTCCACACCCCAAACAATACATTTGAAGAAGAAGACGAAGAGTTGGGGGCGTGTCAGTGAGAAACATGGCGGCTAGACTTTTCTATTTACAGCGAAGTAAGTTAATTGCCTGCACAGAATATATCATTATAATATAACAATATAATATTGTAAGGCCGTCTAAATCGATCCAATGGCGGCATTCGATTAGCAGGGAAAGTCTCTGCGTGTTACTGTCTTTCCGCGTGGCAAAGGGATTTTTGATTAAATGCAATACATTTTCTCATGTATTAACTCATTATTTCATCTGGCTCCATAAATGAAAAGGTTTTAATGATATCTGTGCATCATTAAATGTGAGCGAATGTTTGACTATTATTTTTAATTCTTTAATGAAAATAATAACAAAGTCCGTTAGAATAAAATCAAATGTTTACAATTTATTATGTCAGGTAAATGTATTATGCCAATTTCATAATCAGTTCAAAGATAATCAATACAATAACATGAGATGCAAACCCGACATTAAGAAATAGTCTACATGAGGCTGAAAGTCTCGGGACTCTCAACCTCACGGGCTGATCTGAGGTACAGAAAAGGCCTCGATCCCTTGCTGACTTTGGATTGGCCATGCCGTGGTTTCCCACGTACACTTATCTAAAGTAACATTAAATTAAAACAGAGGTAAGACACACCCAGATTTAGGCTGATCAAGCAGCATTTGCTGCCCTACACGGAAATTCACCTCTTGTCTTTGCAAAACACGTACACTTGAATTAGCGCCAAAGTATTAGTCGTCACTAGTCTGACGCAAAACTTGCGGTAACATACGAATCAGTTTAATCTACTTATAAATAAAATGTATTATTATTATTATTATTATTACTTGGGAAAACAATTTCAGAGTCAGTCAGAATAAAATCAAATGTAACAATTTATTATGTCAGGTAAATGTATCATGCCAATTTCATAATCAGTTCAAAGATAATAAATACAAATCATCAAATGCTCTGGAATAAAGAGAGAAGATGCGAACCTGACATTATAAATATATGATGAAGAGTGCCTGCATACACTAGGCATCACAGGCTAATTTGAGTTACAAATCGTGCCAAGCCTTCTTCAGTATCTCCCTAAATACTCAGACCAAGGCAGAAACCTTTTTTCAAATGTAAACATGAGTTCAACTTCACAGTGGGAATTTGCATTAATCACCATCCCAGACTTACTGGGGACAGAAGCTGATTTACATGAGGGCACACCCACAGTTAACAAGATATCTCGAAACTCTCCACACCCTATGACCTTTCTGGTTTACTTCTGTGGGAATGAGACCTTTGTACCAGTCGCACTGAGACATTTAAAATGATCCCAAACATGTATAATACTCTGATAAATGATAAATTGACATATTAAACCATACAGATTTTTGGGTGAATTCAGGTCAGGATGGGTGAAGGGAATGATGTGTAAATTGGGAGGTGATCAACTTAAGTGTGATCGTGTCTCGAATGGGGATGGTAATATAGCAAGAGTTCAAATGTTAATTTCCTTTGTTTTCTCATACCCCTTTTCCACCAACGCATTTTGAGAGCCGGTTCGGAGCCGGTGCCTGTTTCGACAGCCAAAGAACCGGTTCTCGGCCAGGAAAACTGGTTCCAAAGCGGCACCAACTCTTTGCTGGACTAGAACCGTTCTTTTACCACGTCATGCTTACCTCGGGGGCTGGGGGCGGGTTTAGATAACATATTTTCTGACATAATATAGGATCGCAAAGCCAGGAGAAACATTTGCAGAAACACGATGTAGTCCGCCATGCATTGTAATTGTTAAGCTTGAAGTTGGCGCAAGCGTTTCTAGTTTTTTTTTATTTATTTTTTTATTGAAAACGTTGTGTAAGCAAAGGAGAAAACAGTCACAATATAGAACAAATAAATGGAAAGACAAAAAAGACACAAGACAGGAGTACATAACTAATCAGAAAAGATTACATATCAAAGGAAAAGATTAAAAGACTTACATATTTCAATTGTTTTTAAAGCCTTCTTGGTTCACGAGTTAGAGATAATCCCAAAGTAATGTTGTACTTGCAAGCGTTTCTAGCTAAGATGTATGGCGACGTACACAGTGACGTAACGACGTCGTTCGCTGGGCGCTCTAGTCAGTGGAAAAACAAACAGGTTCTGAGCAGGTTCGCAATTTGAACCAACTCCGAACCAAATTTGAACCAGCACCAGTTCCGAACCAGTTCGTTTTTGGTGGAAAAGGGGTATCAGAGAGTAGCCCTCTCTTCCGGTTCTTCCAGTCTTACACAGCGTCAAGAAATACAGGCTGCTTTCTTTATTTCAAACAAACATTTATTTCTTATTTATTTGCATGTACATAAACTGAACTTTGAACTCTTCTCTTTACAAAACACACCTCCGGCACATTTTAAAACAACTGAAAACATTTAATTCTAGAACTGAGTCTTATGGGAAGGCACCTCGGGTCATCTGATGGTGCGGTACATCATGAAGTCTACAGTGGTGCATCGTGGGAACTTGCCGATGGAGCTCTCCTCCACGGGCGTGTAGACTTTGATCTGCCGCATGTGTGTGTCTCGTCCGTTCTGGTGGTTTGCCAACACGGCGATCTGGATCATGAAGGTTCTGATGGGATTGTTTACTAGATCCAACAGAGGGATGTGAATCCAACCGCTGGGCTCCACCATCTCCAGCTGCTGCTCACACACACACTCGTGTTACAATCAAGGGTTTATTTTGTGAAAATGCACATTATTCTGATTGTTTAGACATGGTTTTTAGCAAATAAATACATAAATGAACACGAAAGATTGATTTAAGTTATGATGAATACGTTTATTATGCAAGAACAACGAGACCACAGAGTGATTCTCACTTGCCTGAGAGAGAAAAAAAAGTCAATTATACCGTTTAACATCATTACATACAAATAATGTACCATAGAATGCCACAAACGACCAATCACAATCAAGTATTTGAGCTTATAGATTAAGGCTATAACATCAAGTCACCTTTATTTTTATAGTGCTTTACAATACAGAATGTTTCAAAGTAGCTGATTAACAGAAAAAATAACAGAATCAATGATGCAAACTTAATTAAATATGAGACTAATTTAATTTCAGCAGTAAATCAGCTGTGTAACTGTGTGAAGTTCATCTATAGAGTGCATTAATGCTCGTATACCTTTACAGCGCAGTTGCCATTCATTTCTCCCATATAGGGCTTTTAAAAAAATCTTCGTTTATGCATTATAAGTCATAAACCAAGCCAACCAGCCTCGAGGTGAATCATAACATTGTAAACTTTGATTAGAAGCGAAAAAGGTTTTGAAAATCTGACAAAAATACAAAGTAACAAGACTGTGAACTTAACTGCTTTACTGAGGGAAAGAACTACAATCCCATGAAGCATTGCGAACAGCGTATTCTAATGACAAAATATGGAGAAATATAAACCTACTCATTAAAAACATGTTGATTATGTATATAAAACACTATATTTAAAGCTGTCATATTCAAATATGTTTTTTGAGAGCGTAGAGAATTCACAGTGTTTCATTAGAGTGGTTGTTTTGTCTTTTCGATTGATAGCGATTTCTGTACAGCAGCATTATGGGTAATGTAGTTTTTCCACAGTTTAGAACAGTGGAATTTTAGTGAATTCTGCTTTTAAACACGATTATTTTAAAACTAAATCGAAATAATGCAGTCTATGGAAGCTTGTTTCCGGCACAGAATAATAATAAAAAAAAGAGTAATTGTGACTTTTTATCTCACAATTTGACTTTTTTTCTCACAATTTCAAATTTACATCTCGCAATTCTGACTTTATATCTCATTATTGTGTGATGTAAAGTCGCAATTGTGTGTTATAAAGTCAGAATTGTGAGATATAAAGTCAGAATTGTGAGATTGTCAGATATAAAGTCAGAATTGCATGATGTAAAGTACTTTTCCCCCCAGAATTTCAGGTTTATATCTCTCAATTCTGACTTTATTACACAATTGTGACTATACATCACGCAATAATGAGATATAAATTTGCAATTGCGTGATATAGTCAGAATTGTGAGTTTATATCTTGCCATTCTGACTTTATAACACACATTTGCGTCTTTATTTCACGCAATTCTGACTTTAAATCTCGCGATTGTGAGAAAAAATTGTCGCAATTACCTTTTAAAATGTTTTAAAATTCCATAGCAGTAAAATACTTTTGATTAACAACCTCGTAGCTCACAGTAAGGCTGTCTCTTTTAAAGTCTACAGGTGAAACTCAAAAAAATTAAATATCGTGCAAAAGTTCATGTTTTCAGTAAATCAAATTAAAAGGTGACACTAATATATTTAGTATATATAACTATATACATATGCATGATTATACTTTTCAGAGGGCCGACACTTCTGTATTTAAAATCCTTTTTTTAATTGATTTCATGTAATATTCTAATTTTCTGAGATTTTGAATTTGGGGTTTTCATAAGCTGTAAGCCATCAAAATGATAACTTTAGCACGATATATCTAATTTTTTTAGTTTCACCTGTATAAATTATCGTTAAAAATCGATTTCCCTGTGGAGAAATGAATGTAGTTTTTACTTCCGGAAGCAACTATTGAAGAAAGCACTAGTGTGGTTATTCTGGAGTCAGTTGTGCTCGTGATCTGCGTCTCTCACCCGGATCTCCTGCAGGTTGTGGAAGTTGTTTCCCACTCTGACCGAGATCTTGCTGGGAGTGTAGCTTTCATCAGATTTATAATCCGCATAAATGCACAGCATCTTCACAGTGGTCTTCCTCCTAACAGGACACAATCACAGCCTTTCAGTGTCTAGAACATGTAAGCAGTCACAAACCCAAATATATATTATAATATTTATCATAAAACATGAATGCGCACTTTAAAACGTTCCAGTTTACGGTTTTCTAAACATCACAACGTATGCACTGATCTCAGGTCAGAACTTTTTAAAGTGTCTGTCACTGTTTCCAATACAGACTTGTTTTAAATTATATTTAATGAACAAATCAGCAAAGCATTGAAATTTCAATCCAATATGAGACATAATTTGAGCAGAGAATGTAAAGATTGTTTGATTTTTTTTCTGTGATTAGACATAATGCTTTTATTTGATATAACAAAATGTAATAATATCCAACGAGAGATTAAATGATTACAGTGCTTTCCCAAATCTTAGGTACCATAACCTTTACAGTTATATTATTACTGGATAAGTTTTTTTTTTTTTTTTAATGATTTCATTCACATTGTGCTTATAGACACACACTAAGTAATCACCTCAATATTTAGGAGCTTAACTAGAAATATATTTACAAAATAAACCTAAATGATTTTTCTTTGATCTATAATAAATAATTTTCCACTTTTCCAGTCCTTATTTCAAGGTTAAAAGGAATATATGTGTGTGTGTGTGTGTGTTGATTGCTGACTAACATGAAGTTGAGAAACAACTCACTGCATGATGGAGCCAATAATGTATATGTAATAAAATCTGTATAAGTTTTTCTCTTCCTGTTTTATTTGGACAATGAATGAATGAATGCCTCGATGACTTTAGGCATTTAGCGCCACCTACTGGCAGTTTTAGTTTCTTATTTAGAGTATCACTCCATAAAAAAAAAATAACAGTTTCCATATTAATAAAAAAAACATTAAAGGTAAAGTTCACCCATAAATTAAAATTCTGTCATAATTAAATCACCCTCGTGGCTGTTGTAGCCTGAAAGTTTGTGTAATAAACTCTGTTGAATAAAATTAAATATTTCTTTCTAAAGCTACTTTTTGTAATGTTGTCTATAAAAGCTTTTCGCATTTAACACAATAAGGACTTAAGGATATTTTGGGATTCATTTCTCAGCCACATTTGATTTGAAAATTGTGATTAATAAGATGAATTAATCCCCACATCGTGTAATTAATTAGGTGTTTGTTTCGTAACTGACTTGCATTTATGTCAACCAGTCAATCACACAAACACATTTATTAGCTGTAAACAATAGTCTCAAAATGTCTAAATAATGGCAGATTTATCTATTAATAACTCAATAGATAAATCATACAGGGGCTGTTTTGTGGCTCTACCTGAACTGAATGTTCACTAGATGCGGCTGAGAGCCATCGGACTGCCAGTACGTCTCCAGATTATCATCCCTCAACTGGTCGACTCCGAAGCCTTCACACAGAAAGGGAATGATTCAAATGAAAAACTAAACACAGGTGTGCAATGATCAAAAACAGATCATATTTAATATACACACACACCTGGCTTGCACGAGGACAGCGACCACACGGCTTGTGACCCGATCTCTCGGACAGTCCCGGTGCGCTCCAGCTGCTTCGGGTCGGCACCTGGGGGGGTTTTAGTGGCGGTTGCCATGGTTACTGAGGAAAGAAAAAGAGGACAGACAGATGGGATGGAATTAAAAAACACTTACAGACAGCATAAAAACATTTATTAAATAATAATAATAGTGCAATGTGGAGTAGCCCTAACCTAACACTAACCCTAAACAATGCAATTTGCAATTGCTTTACATACACATTTTATTAGTAATATTGACATTAATTTGTAGTTTTCACTTAATATTAAAAGAATAAAAATGCTCCATGTCCAAAAAACTAAAACTATGGTAATACAATTTTATTTTTTCCGATAATTTTTAAAAATATTATTTCATTATATATATATATATGTGTGTGTGTGTGTGTGTGTTCCACAACATCAACTAATATTGAGATTAATTTGTAGTTTTCACTTAAAAAAAATGTAAATGCTCCATGTCCAAAACACTAAAACTATGGCAATACAATGTTTTTTTTCCATTACATATATATATATAGGTGTGTGTGTGTGTGTTTGTTCCAGAACATAATTTTAACTACATAGCGTCTTATAATAATATGTAATATTCAACTGTATGATATACTATATATATCATAGTGCCAATGACAAATATACTTAATATACTTAATAAACACATTTACAAAGTAAAAAACCTATCTGAGTTTTCCAATAACACACGGTTGTTTAATTAAAAATATCTACCTTTAATCTTAACATCAAAACAAAGCCACAGTTACTCACCGGCACTAAAAAACACTCCCACCACTGTGTCTTCTTACATCTGTCTCCACAACTAACGCACGTCTAGGAATAGTTTCTTTAAAAAAAGGTAAAATATAATCGTAAACATCCACGCACTGTTCGCATTTGCCCGGCATTGGCGCACTCTGATCACGTCACGGTTCTTGGATCGTGTCGCGTCCCTTTAGCGTCGCGCGCTCTGGCGCCATCTTTGCTACCGGTGTTGTCTCGTGCGCGCCGTAGCAGCACGCGCTGGTCGTCTCTTCACACAGTAAAGAAGAAACTCAACGCTTATTAACGCGTTATACTGCGTTGTTCCCATCAGCGGGAGGTGAGCAGCGTTTTATTGACATTTTCTAATAATTAAATGCAGATTCATAGGTAGTTTGAAAGACAGACAAAAAAACGCACCAGCTGTGTCTGTGCGCATGCCGCCCTATGCGCGAGGCCTTTTCTTCTTTCATTAAAATATCCCCGGTTTCAACGAATATTTAATGAAAGTCATTCTGAACAAAGTGGAAAACAACTAAGCAGACGTTTTAGAAAGACCATGTCACATAATCTAGTGTTTTGGGGGTAAAATAAAGCAGGGAATTCTCTGAGGGAAAGTCTTGCGTCATCGGTCGTTATTCCCACAAGTGTGTGAGACTAAGAGTCACGATGAGCGCGTGCACGTGCACAATATAGCCGTTTTAAACGTAGATCTGAATGTAATGTTTGTATATAACATCGGTTATGGAGTGTACTAGTCCGATCGGCTCGGATTCAAAGGGTGCTGCGGTGTACTAACCATTAATCAATGATCTGGTCTGGTAATTTAACCATCGCAGGTTCGAGTCCCATCAATGGATTCATAAACTATGACAAGCGTGTCCTTGTCCAAGACGATAAACCTCAGGTTATTCCAGCTTAACAAGTGCAGAGTGAGTCACTGCATCTGATAAATGACTCATTAATTATCAAATTACTAATATTATATGTGTTCAATAGGATGACAGTGCAGTCTATGCATGTTTAAACGAGCTGTCACGTGATGCCAGCTCTGCACTGTAAAAATGGCAGCTCAGCAACTTCATTCATCCTGAATTTGAGCTGTCCATCTATCCATCCATCCATCTTTCTGTCTCTGACTCATGAAACCACCACATCAGACCAGGTTTTGCTCGCCAGACTTATCTCGTTTTACACGGCTGCCTTCAGGAAAGCATTTTGTTGGGAGTGTAACAGCTGGTGTCCGTTAAATCTGATCTTTGCATGAGTTCATGCCTGTTAACAAGTGATAAACTGGTTTTAATAGTGCCGGGTTGCAAGGGTGTTCTAGGTGGTTTCTTAAAGGGATACTTCACCTAAAAATGGAATATTCTGTCATTAATTCCTCAATCTCATGTCGTCCCAAACCCGTAAGACCTTCGTTCATCCTTGCAACACAAGTTAAGATATTTTTTGATGAAATCCGATGGCTCAGATTCAAATTGCTCCATTGACAGCTATTTAATTAACACTTTGAATGTCCAGAAAGGTAGGAAAGACATAGTTAAAATAGTCCATGTGACTACAGTGATTCGACATTAATTTTATGAAGCGACGAGAATACTTTTTGTGCGCCAAAAATCAATCGTATTGTGTGCCATAAATATCTTAATTTGTGTACCGAAATTGGTTTGGAACGACATGAGGGTGAGTAATTAATGACAGAATATTACATTTTTGGGTGAACTATCCCTTTAAAGTCCTCTGTTAATTTGTAATTGGATTGCGTTCAGTTGCATTGATACTCGTCTAATTTTGATATTGTGCACCCCTAATTACTCCCTGGTGAAAAGTGTTTTGTTGGTGTTAATCTCTGGTTGCGTCCGAAATTGCATACTCTCTTGAGTAGGTACTTATTGTACTTATTGTCAATAGTAGGCTAATTAGGCTATTTTGCAACTGCTAATGTACATTATATATAGTATGAGTCAATGTAATCCGGATGTACTACATTCGCCATGTTGTCATTATCCCATGACCTCCCAGCGTCGCTTCACTGCCATTGATAAATCCTCTCCCGGTGCATCATGGGACAGTAAAGAGTCCATCGTATGCACACGTCACAATCTCACTGGAAGTAGTAGGCCATCTGGGAACTTTTATGAGTGCTATGAATTTGGAAATGCTTATTAAAGAGCTGCTGTGTGACTGGGTTAAGTAGGGAAAACGCAAGTAAAACAATCAGTTTAAACTAAAGGCTGGACTAGGGTATGATTTTAGCCCTAAATTCAGCATATTGACACAAAATATTAACTGCAAATCCAGCTTTCTCTGCCCGGATCCAGTTGTTTCTGTGAATCGCAGCGATCGATTTGCGTCTCTGTTCTGTAGATTTCATAAAAATCTGTAAAAATGTAAAATATACCTCAGATTTCTTGTCAAATCTAGTTGTTCAGTCAATCTCAAAGCTCTTTCCCATTTTAGATGTGTTTTATGTGTTTTTCGTGGCATTCACGCTGAAAACAAATGCCACCACTCAATGCATACCCTCTATAAACAGTTTCTTTTGAATGTATAGTAGAGCCCGACGGATATGGATTTTTGGGGGCCGATACCGATATTAGGGAGTAAAAAAAGCCCGATACCGATATATCGGCCGATATTATTTATGTGTATATTCAGGGCTCGACATAAGCAATGGCCCGATGGCCCGGGGCCAGTAAAAGAGTATGTCGGGCTAGTTGATTGGCCAGTCACTGGCCCGTGCGGGCCAGTGAATGGCCATCAGCAAAACAAACAGCAAACATACAGTGGCGCGAAGAGTGTCAATGTTACTTCAGGTAATAACGTGTTAAAATGTCAAAGAACTACGAGGCTGATACGAGAAAGAGGACATTCCTTTAGGGCTGGGCGGTAAATCGAGAATGTACAATATATCGATTTTTTTTTTAAACGATATGGAATGAGGCAATACTGTTTATATCGATACAGTAGTTTGATACGAGCACATCTGAAAAAATAGCGGAGTACGCAGTGTGAGCTCCTGCAGTGAAACAACATAGTACAATTTGTCCTAAACATGACACAAGCTTATATTAAGCACTTCAAAATAACTGGTAAGATATAGTTAACAAGTTTAAAGCAGTTTGCCCTGTCAGATGCTCTGACAGATACTGTAGCTGACTGACAGATAAATACTTGCGCTGTTTAATGCGTTTGAGACGTGGTGCTTTCCTCAGTGCTTAACTTACATTTTTAGAGGTATATTCTCCATCTGTAAATGTTAGAAAGTCAAACAAATATGTCCATTTCACTGTCAGGAGAGGACGAGCTTCTGCAAGTGAATCTCCCCTAATATTCAAGCTTCCGTGAATGAGCGCCGCCGCGAGCACGTGCGCCTAACAGACGAGCACAATAGAAGAGTAGCGCAATAATTCTGACTAAAAGATACATATTGCTAAAATATTTGTTGTTGGAGACAATAAATGTGCCATATGTGGAATTTTAAACCATACAAGTAGGCCTATGTTTTTATGAAAGTGAGCATTATAACGGGGTAATCAAATGCAGGCTAATATAATTAGTTGTGCTTTTGTTTTTATTTTATTTTTAGTTTAGCCTTAGTCATTTTAAAAACAAAAGCATTATTTTTGTTTTTAGATTGTAATGTTAGAATGTAATGTGATTTTAACCACCTTTTTGCACGTAATATATTGCATAGCCTACATTACATTCACTATATTTGTTTCCATATCCTTCAATATCAACATTGTTTGGATATCATTAAGCAGGATGTGAAATATTTTTTTTTTAAATAAATACAGATTTTCTTTATCCAAATAGAAAAACGTAGAAAGTACAGAGATATATATCGTATATCGCCATTTAACCAAAAAATACCGAGATATGATTTTTTGGCCATATCGCCCAGTCCTAATTCCTAGTGTCATGGAAAATGCAGCACACCTGGGTGGAGAAAGGCGATGAGGGCATGTACTGTTTTGTTTGCCGGAAATTTACAATAAAAGCCGACCAAAATGCAAAATGCATAACCGGCCTGCCGAGTGCCGACGGGCTATCTAAAAATAGTGTAATCAAATTCCCCCCTAAACTTCTGCCTAGCCCCCCTAAAAATGTGTGATTAAGTGTAAGCTACACAAATTTGTGTTCGCTTCAGTCTTGTTATAATCAGATTCAGCGTGTTCTTCATTTTTTCTTCATTGACAGTTTTTTAGGTCATAAATGTTAAACGTATGACAAAAATAATCAGGCAAACTAATATACTTTTGTCTAATTTCGCCATTTTGAAGTGAAAATATAGCCTATGTAACTCATCACTCATGTCATGTAATAATTAGTTTACTGTCATTGTGAGGGGCCAAGAAAAATTAATCCTAATGTATACAATAAATACAGTTTAATGGAAAAGTGCTTTTCATTCTATTTCTTTCAGGGCCAGTAAAAATATAGAAGGGGCCAGTAAAACTCTGATCTACTGGCCCTGGGGGCCAGTGGGGATTTTTTTTTATGTTGAGCCCTGATATTATAATACAGTAGCAATATTATTTATGTGTATTATAGTACAGTATAAGTCAAAAGTTTGAACACTTTCCTATTGGTGTGTACAAATTTTTGATGGGTACTTTACACAGTAGCTATAAACAGTATAAATATATTTTATAAACACGTTTTGCAATGATCACTCAAATGTGGTGATCAAACACTTGTGTGACACAGATATGTAATGGAGGCAGGGGGAATGATAGAATGAGAATTATACAGCTGAGCTGTAACCAAACTAGTTTGCATTGCATGTTATATTATATTAAATTCTAAATACTGTTGCATAATCTTCACTAACGACTTTGTCTTTTAATTTAGTCATAAATCTTCCTAACCCTATCAATAAATATATAAAAAGTGTCACTGACAAAACCTTATTATCTTCTATTTTTACTCTTAATTCCTCTAAACTCTACCAGTGGAGGAAGAACTCAGATCTTTTTTACGAAAGTAAAATTAATAATATCATAATGAAAACGTTTTTAATTACATATGTACAGTACTTTTATACTATTTTAAATAATTAGTAACCAAAATATACTAAACGTGAAACTAGGCTACTCTTAATGCAAAATGGCCCTATATAAAGTGTTATAATTATATACATTTTTGGAATATTGCTTGATGTTGTAACGTAGCGTTAGGCAGAATGAGCTTTAACACGGTGTCTACACACCGGACGCGGCCGTTACTGCTCGCGTCGCAACAGCTGTTTACCCTAGACAAAGCAGAATCAGTTTACTGTCGGAGATCGCTCGCGCCACGCATTTTAATCAATGTTTCATCAACCAATTACCTTAATAAATAAGAAGTAGGCCTAAATATAGCAAACAATATAATCAGGACTTCTCAGCTGCGCGCTTGCAATAGTCACAAGCTCACACAATACGTGACAGAGGGTTGTAGCAGAGAAATCAATTCTGTGAATTACACTGCGCAAATCACAAGTAGGCTACTAGCCACCGGATGAAGAAGGGTTGGCTCTCAGTCTCCACAGGCTACATAAAATATTCGTTTTATTTTATTTTTCGTGTTCGCATTTATGAGGAAAAAACAATGTTACAGACGCGACAGTTCAGCACTACGGACGTGAGCGCTCTGAAAGCGGCACTAAAATATGCTTTGAAACTTTCACATAGACATCAAACAGAAAGCACAAAACCTTTCGTTTCAAAGTGAATTTCGTTTTGTATTAATTGTATCTTAATTTTAATCAATGTTTCATCAACCATTTGCCTGGATTTATTTTATAAGAAGTAAATATGACGATAGATAATCTCGACATAGAGGCGCCTGCGGGTGAACTGGAGCTCGTCTGAGTCGTCTCATGAACCGAAACTCAGCGTATAGACCTGAGAATTGAAATATATCTATATTGAAATGTCTACTTTTAAACAGAACAATTCAAAACGAAAGACAGACAGACTCATGTAATCGAAATGTGCATTTCTCTCTGGCACGCGTTCACTGAAGATCGCGAGTCAGCATCGTCAACTTCATCTTTGGCTGACACTGACTGAAAACGCTTGTTTATTAATAAACAATTAAAATGTCTCCTTGCTATATTTGTTGTATTCATAATCATTACTTTTGCCAGTTCTTGTGACAGCTTTTAGATGCTTTATTGGCAGCGCCACCCTTACATGAATCACCGCACCCGCATTTTTTTAAATATTCATTTATCGGCCATTATAAATGCCGATACCGATAGTTAGGAAAATGCCTAAAATCGGCCGATAATATCGGCCCGCCGATATATCGGTCGGGCTCTAATGTATAGTAGAGTTTTATAGTGCATATAGTATAGGCCTATAGCATAAACATTAATTTTGTTTCGTACGCAGCTCATATCTCTCTCTCTTTCTAGTGAGGTCTAGGCCTCCTGTTTTCCTGTAGATCTGCGTCGCCGGTGTGCGACATCGAACCAGCCAAATGGCCGACAAGAACACCAGAATTGCTATTGTAAACCACGACAAGTGCAAGCCCAAGAAATGCCGTCAGGAGTGCAAGAAGAGCTGTCCGGTGGTGCGCATGGGTAAGAATCGCACGCCCAATTCGCTTTAATTTAAGGCTTTGTGCGTTATTGATGTGTTCTCAATTCAATTCACATTTATTTGTATAGCGTTTTTCACAATACACATCGTTTCAAAGCAGCTTTACGGAAAATGCATGAGTCCACGTTACAATTTGGAGTGATCTGTTATCAGAGGAAATGTTATGCATTTCAGAAATATGTACATATACAAATCTCAGTTGTCTTAAAATGTAATAATTTAAACAATGTAATAATTTAAGGGAGAAACAATGAGCTCATTGAAGTAGGGCTGCACGATATTGAAGAAAAATGCGATAACTCATTAAATAATGCAATATTCGATATGCGATACAATGATGCTTAAAGTGTGTAAAATAAACTTAAATGATCTTTAAAATATATTTAAAATTATGTATCCTACATACGTGTTTCACATTCTTTTGGTGACAAGAAAACATCCCTACAGCTTCTGAAAGTGAACAGCAGTGTTTTACTGTCACATAAGACGTGATCAGTGTAAAACACGGGGTTCAGGTTATCCTACATCAGAGTTATTTAACAACAGAAACTGAATAATCAAATCTAAAAATAAAACACTTAGTTTTCACTGTTTGAATTAAATATATCCTGATTCGTATTAAAGCTACAAAAGTTATTCAGCAAACAGCAGTGAGTGAATCTCTCTTCATAACCCCAGTTATTATGCATATCGCGATATATACATTTGCGATATTTCGATAATTTCGATATATATTGTGCAGCCCTACGTTGAAGTAATGAATATTTGTTTGTTAACAAATGATTATGACATTTAGAGAAAATGTAGCATTGGTGCATGTTGATTCAGAGTTGGCCTCATCTGAAGTCCTGAAGTACTTGTGTGTGTTCTCAGGGAAGCTGTGTATTGAGGTCTCGCCTCAGAGTAAAATCGTCTGGATCTCAGAGTCTCTCTGCATCGGGTGTGGAATCTGTATCAAGGTATTTGAAGGACCCATCGCATCCCTCGAGCATTTCACTATAGCTTAACCCTGTAAAGCATGAGGTTTCCCAGATAGGGTTTAAAATGAAGGCCTTAATCTTGAATAGCTATTGCTGCGTCTCAATTCGCCTACTTAAACTACACCCTAAAAGTATGTACTCTTTTTGTGAAGAAAAAGCAGATCCCTTTGAGTGTGTAGCAGAAGAGTAGGCAAGCTTTGGGACATACGATCACGTCATACAATTGTGTCTTTAACGGTTGCTCTCTGTCATCCTGACACGTAAACTGGCCTGTCAATCATCTTGCCACACTTAAAATCCTCCACGTTTAATTTAATTTCCTACCGAATCAGAGAGAAATGCAGCGCGAGTTGATCTGCAGTCGCGGGTCTTTCATGACGAGACTCTCCTCATATTAATGCATATTGATGCATTTAAAAGTTAATGGCCGAACGGATCTTTATAAAAGTCCACATTGTTTTGCAGATGAAATATAACTCGGATAACATTAAATAAATGAAGAGTTCAGGGGCCGTATTCACAAAGAATTTTATCTTACCACTAGGAGTACTCCTAAATCGCACTAAAATATTTTAGCTAGGAGTTTTCTTTTAAAAGTTATTCACAGCGCCTTTCAGACCTACTCTTAGTAAGGAAAAATGACAACTCCTAAACTAAGAGTGAGTCTTCGTTGCTATGGATGACGTCACTTCTCATGCACGAGCTTCCTCGCAATGATCACGGTGATTGGTTGTTAGATGACAGGGCCATCATGCGGATCATAACACAGACGCAACAAATCATGGAATTACGACATCTAAATATGTCTGTGTCCTACACTAAATAATAATAGTAATGTCATCGAAATGCATATATAATGACATGTTTGTGCAGGCCCCAGTGAAGTGTAATTCTAAAAAGGCAGAGAGAGAGAAAAGTCGTGAATTAAAATAAATTAAATCAAGGTAGCCTAATACCCTAATGAAAACCTCCACTTGCCTAATAATGAAAAACAACACTTGCATTAACACTTGCTTGGTTAATTGACATCCTATTAGCCTAAATGGACTACTTAAAGCAAGGAAATGTTGCTCTTATTGAAGTAATGTAATAGTTGAATGACAGTGGATTATGAAGTCGCCAAAACGTAAAAGAAAGCCCAACTGGACGCAGGGTCAGTAACTGCTGCTGGCCGAGTTGGTGCTAAAAAAAAAAAAAAAACATAATAAAAGTGAAATTCGGCACTGGGATATCAAGCAAAACTAAGCGTGAGACATGGGAGAGGATTTTTTTGCAGATCAATGCAGCATTCCCGCTTGTGTCGCGGACCCCGGACGACTGCGAGAGGCGGTGGTGTGCGCTACAATCCTTTGTGAATAGGTCTTAGTGAGTTAGGAGTCCTCTCGACTTCTTTTAAGCTGTCCCAGACTTAGGTGCTACTTTTAGGGCTAAAATGCTTCGTGAATTACTCTTAGTGAAAAAAATTAGGAGTCCTAAATTTAGGAGTGACACGCCCATTATTTTTAGGAGTTGCTCCTAAATTCGCCAGTTAGGAGCTACTTTTAGCCTTAAAATTCTTTGTGAATACGGCCTCAGATGCAAAAGCCTCTAAGTGCCATTTGAAATTTTCTTCTAGAATGATCATTTTTATCAAGCTTGTATATTTAAGTTCAGTAATTTCACTTAAATGGGAATGAAGATTACCTATTAATTGTCATTTAAGTGAAATTACTGAACTTAAATATACAAGCTTGATAAAAATTATCATTCTAGAAGAAAATTTCAAATGGCTTTTGCATCTGAACTCTTCAAATATATTTTTTATCAGGTTAAACTTTGAGTAGTTACTCAAACCTTTATCTGAACCTCTTACCGTCGGTCGCGCATATCCACCATGTTTTGTAGTTTTTTTTTAACACTTTTTACTCATGTTTGTAGTTCCTCCTCCAAAGTGCAATGGGTTGTGGGCAATATTAGCCTTTATAGTGAGCACGGATCCACACTTCAAAAATCCATCGGACCATCTGGAAACTTCCTCTTTTCAACATACTATGCTTTGGGACACACTTACTCTAATCTCACATATGATTTAGGATGGATAGTATGGACATTGAGACGCAGGGTTAGTCATGGCTTTCTGAAACACACAAACACCTGGACTATAAAGAAAACAACAAAATTAATCTCCTGGTGGGTTTAATTTAAGCTTCAGTTTGAGTCCTGGAGTAGCTCTAGTCTTCCTCCACATAATCATCTTATTAAGCTCTGGACTAGACTAAGTCTAGGACTTTTTAAAACCATGACAGAGAATGCAGATTTTTGTTAATCTGCTTTAAAAGGCCATTTTAGTCTCGGACTAGGCTTGATCTCTGTCTGGGAAATGATAGTCAGAAAATTGCAATGTTTTTGAAGGGGAACAGTTTATTGAACCTTTAGACAAAATCTTAAAAAAAATATTTGTTGTGTAATATTTTATATATCAGGCTTTTATGGATCATATAGTGTGATATAATGAGTTATTCAGAGGCCTAAACTGAGTAAAAATATATGAAAAAAGTATTTTGATATTTCTTATAATGAGATCTTTATCTGTTAAGCAGACTACTGACATAAAATGCATATAAATATTAGTCATCACTCAATATCTGGCAGTTACATGTCTTAGTAAGATGATATTTAAAAAAGCTTAGTTTTATGATCATAGCTCTGTATTGTTAAACATATAATGATGATTAAGAGATGAACAAATAAACCTTCCTCAAATCATATGTGATACTCGCATATAAATTATGTCTGGATCATCAAGTAAAACTAAGCTGCTTCGGTCCAGTAAGTGTTCCTCTTAAAATATTACCAACAATATAAAAGTGATTCTTATGTTTACTTTATAAGACTTCGCAGCATAAAGACATGAGCTGAAGGTGGACGTTTATGCTATTATACTGAACGACTTTTACTTAAACTATCAATCAGACGACAGAAGGCATGTGATTGTGTGCATCCGGTTTTACAGCAAGCTTTTGATCATTTAAAGGCCTCAGAAATGTATGTATGTATGCTTTATAGGGTTAAAAATGCAAAAACAAGTTGTCAAATGCTCAATAATTACTGTATACCTTACTAATGGTCGTAACCCTAAGTTATCATGCATTTAATCTGATTTTAATTATTTTGTTTTTAAGAAATGTCCGTTTGGTGCTCTTTCCATCGTGAACCTGCCAAGCAACCTGGAGAAGGAAACCACACACAGATACTGTGCTAATTCCTTCAAGCTGCACAGGTACGAACACGCATCTCGCCCGAGTCATACCTTAATCACGATTCAGTGTGTTGTGCATTTAATCTGAGTCAGGGCTGTCAAAATGGCTGAAAAGCTAAATTCGAATTTCTTTTTTAAATTTTAGCAAAATTTGAATTATATTCGAATTCTAAAGGTAATTCTTAGTTACAAAAAGTACGGTATTGTCTCCTATGCCCACAAGTATGTCTTTGCACGATTTTTGCCACCAACTGAGAGAGTTTCCGCCTTTTCCCGTCATTTTTCAAATTAACAACGCAGCCGAACCGTGCTGTACTGGATAAGCTAACAAAAACAAACAGTGTCAGTTACGTCATCATCGTGTCTCGTGCCCAGGGCCTGAAATTAACACCCGACCACCTGCCAAATGCAGGTGAATTTTGCTATTGGCGGGTAACACTCAATCTACCTGCCACATTGGCAGGTAGCCAATGAGAATTGAGTGATTCATTAGGGTTTTTTTTTTTTTACGTTTTCATTTTCATTGCGTTGGACCTTAGCTATAATGTGGCGGCACATTACTGGGGTAAAAAGGCCAGCTGAAACAAACAACCAACAAAAAGATGAGGATGAGTCAAAGAAAAGTAAAAGAAGACATTTTAATACAAAGTGGTCAATTGGCGACAACGGCAAGCTTCGTGAGCGGCTGATTTATGACAGCGACTGTTGTTTCGTAACGTTTATGCGATCAGAAAGAAGATGAGCCCCTTTTCTGACTTCGTTTGGATGTGCGAGTATTAAACTGTTGGTGAGATGGGATGAGATAATGTAACCCTGACGTAGGCTCCAGAACAATGACAGTTGCACAGATGTGTGCGTGTGCAACTGTAGTACATGTTGGGAGTTGGGAACCGGTCCGGTACCCGGTAACTTTACCAGTAATACTATTAATTTAGTTCTGCTTAACGGTTCCTGAACGCTGTAACTAAAAGCTGTCAGGACCTAGCTGTCTACGTGACTAAATCATCCATCAACACAGCCGCTGGTGATTTGTTTACATACGGGCTGCGGTAGGTCTATAGATCTGTTGTGCGTGTGTGTGTCAAAATCAATGAATAAAAAGATTTTTTAAAAATGTATATTTTTAAAAAATCTAAGAGTTATTATTACTTATATTGATTTCGTTAATAACTTGACAGCACTTAAATGTGTACAAGTTAAAGAACAATATTGTAAAATTCCCGTTTTTCACCTTTAGGCTATGAGGCAAAAAAAAAAAAAAAAGGCTGGTAAAAAGTCTCTGTGGCAGGTGAATTTTGATATCCACCTGCCACAGTGGCTGGTGGCCAAAAGAGTTAACTTCAGGCCCTGCTCGTGCCCCTCTCGACACACCAAAAATTCTAATTTTTATTTGACAGCCCTAACATGAGTGTTCGTGTTTGTCAGGCTGCCCACCCCTCGTCCAGGTGAGGTGCTGGGGCTTGTGGGTACTAACGGTATCGGGAAATCCACTGCTCTCAAAATCCTGGCGGGAAAACAGAAACCAAACCTGGGGAGATTTGATGTGAGTTTCTCAACGCACTCACAAACACAATCCAGATCTGATCCTAGTTCACATGTCTGTGTGCATGTGTGTATCTTCATGTTTGAGATGCGCTTGTTTCATGTGTGTGTGTGTGTGTGTGTGTGTGTGTTTTAGGCTCCCCCTGACTGGCAGGAGATCCTGGCGTATTTCCGCGGCTCCGAGTTGCAGAACTACTTCACTAAGATCCTGGAAGACGACCTGAAGGCCATCGTAAAGCCGCAGTATGTTGATCAGATCCCCAAAACCGTTAAGGTCAGTATCAGTCTGATTTTAGATTTTATTTTAGGGTTGTTATAGTTTTATTAATATTTTGAATTAGCATTTTATTTTTATATGTTTGGTTTTCATGTTAATTTTAGTTTACTTTTTTTGTAATTTCGTTGTGCCTTTGTCATTTTATTCGTTTTAATATATATATATATATATATATATATTTCTATTTCTATTTAGGTTTAATTTATTTTATTTCAGTTTTAGTTTTTAAAAACTTCCAATTAAACATTTTATTGCTTCAACTTAAACTCAAATGCAACATTTCTAGTTTTCGTTTAGTTTAAGTTTTTCAAGTAATATTTTTATTTTATTTCAGTTAACAGAAATGTGATTAATGTTTTAGTTAATGATGATAACCCCGGTCGGTATGAAAGGAAGCTGATAGGGATGCGCCGATATGAAAATTTTGGCCGATAACCGATAATTCTTTAATTTTGAAAGAAGATCGCCGATATATTGGCCGATAAATCTAAATCAAAATTATGTAATTTTTCAGAGCCTGATTACAAAAACAAACGCATTCATTCTTAATCAAGCGAATCCTATATGAGAGAAAGCCGATATATACACAAAATAAACATAATATTACAACTTGTTATTGCACAAAACAAAAGGAATGCGAATGCACAAGCAAACTTATAGTCATGAATGTTTAGCAAGCAAGCAACTTTATTTATATAGCACATTTTTTAAACAACAGACGTTGCCTCAAAGTGCTTTACATAATAATAACATGAAAGTCATACAGCAAAACAGACATACTTTATTCAGAAGCTAAAGAAAATAAATACGTTTTTAAATAAGACTTAAAAGTTGTAATCGATGGATCTGACCTCACATGGAATCACAAAGTTTGGGACCTACCACGGAGAAAGCACGTTCTCCATGTTCTACACATTTACTCATTTACATTCTACTCACACCCGCACGTTTAACTCCGTTCTGGATGTGCTCTTCCTGTTAACCATGTGCTGAAACACGAGCACACAAAGCATTCACAACATTCTTTTACAGCAACATTTTTATTATAATATAAAGTGATTCCAATCATATTTCAAGCAATTCAAAACCATCATGCCGTACAGTCACATCTGAAATGTCTCAGATAAAGGAAATAATCCATTATTTATCGGCTTTAATATATATATATCGGACAAAATTTCTCATTGGGTTGATAATGATAACATTAAAAATGGATATATGTCAGCTGATACATTGAAGCTGATGTAAATATGAGGTCATTTTAGTGTTTGACTTGATAGTGTTGTGATTCTCTGTTTGTCCTGTAGGGGTCAGTAGGCGCCATCCTAAGCAGGAAGGATGACACAAAGACAGAGGAGCTGGTGTGTGGACAGCTGGGTATGTACACATGCTTTTGTTTATGTGCAGTATTATCAAAGTCAAGCATGACATTTCACTCGGCGGCCATCTTTGAAACGCTTCTCGGGCAGCTTTTTCAGTCATGCAAGTGCAGATCCTGAGGAAACATCAAATTCTCCAAAGCTTCATATTTGAAATCACCAATGAAATGACCAACAACTGTCTCATAAATTGTTTCTAAACACTCAAATGATTACAAAGAAAATGTAAAACATGTTCAGTCATAAGCACGGACTCAAAACACTGACTGTTTTTATAGCAACCGGAGCTTCTAACGTCGATTGGCTCATTTATTTAAAAGCCGGGACTTATTCCACCATAAACGCTTCGCTTTTTCTCCCATTCATAGTAATATGAGTGCCCTGCGGTATATCTAAATTCTCTGGTATTATTTATATATTTAGAAATGTAACTGAATGTTATAATAGTTTTGTTGCATCATGTGACTGATTGTTCTGTTCCCTGATTGGTCAGATCTGTTGCACTTGCGTGAACGTAATGTGGAGGACCTTTCAGGAGGAGAGCTGCAGAGGTTCGCCTGCGCAGTCGTGTGCATTCAGAGAGCTGATATGTGAGTCCCTCTGTGCTGCAGGGTTATTATCCTTAACTAAAGCCATTAAAGGGGTGGTCTAATGCCCTTTTCACAAGATGTAAAATAAGTCTCTTCTGTCCCCTGAGTGTGTACGTAAAGTTTTAGCTTAAAATGCATGTTAATTGTCACTTTTTGAGGGTGAGAAAAAACGCGCTGTTTTTGTGTGTCCCTTTAAATGCAAATTTAAATTCGATCCGATTACCTTAAAACTTTTAGCCTTTTGTTCAAACCGGAGTCTGACAAAGATGAAGAGACTCAAGAAGTGACAACATGTAGAACGTTTCTAAATGGTTAACTCCATAAATTCATCAACTAACCATCTTCTAGTCATTGATTAGCATTTTCTGTCTATAAATCGTGTTCCTGGGGGTGGGGGTTATGTAAATTTTACATAAACGGAGGAATCTCGTGTAGTCCCTACTAGCCGTTTGTTATAGTCCTTAACCCTTTATGACCTGCCATAGAACAATTCAGTCTTAAAATCGTTTTTTTTTTCTACATATTTTATTAAATACAGAAATATCACAAATGTCAACCTCAAACTTGTCAATGTAAAAAACTTGCATAAACACTTTAAAACTACACACAATTGATTTGAACTGTTTACATAAATTAGTTTGTAAGATACACTCATTTTTATAAACAGTTTAATAAACAGCAATGATAAAAAGAGACAATAACGAAACTTTGCAGATGTTGTTTATGCTCAAACAGAAACATTAAAGGTGCCATATGTAAAAATTGAGGTAAAAATATCCAACAAATGAGCTACACGTATCCAGGGTTCCCGCGGATCCTTAAAAAGTCTTAAATTAGATTTTTAAAATTAAAGGCCATAAAAAGTCTTATTTTTACTTATGAAAGGTCTTAAATTTTAGATGACACTTTGACTTAGACATATCTAAAAGCTTTCCAAATTAAAACCATCTAATTAGCGTACGTATTTTTATTTATTTATTATTCTATCTTTGTGGATTTGCTAGTTCACGTGACATTTCGCGTCACTCGCGAGTCGCGGCAGCATAACTGTCTCCTGCACGCGAGAGGAGAGAAGGAGAAGAGAGGTGGTAAATGTCAGTTCAGTTGTAAGTTCATTCTTTATGTGCGTATGGTGTGCGATGTGTATTGTCTTTTATGATATTGTAATCATTGTTTTAACAATGTACGAGGCACTGCGAGCTGACATCGCATTTGTCTCTCGTGCTTTCACTGCGTGATGTGTGCAGTGTAACTGTTATGTCCCCAAGTTAGTTTTTGTCTTATATTTATATCATATTATGTTCTTATATTAGAATATCACATCAGAAAGAGTGCCGTTTTCCCGTGCACAATTCCAAGTGTGATATTTATGTTATACAACAGTTAAATTAACAATAAGTTAACATTGAGTTACTTTTTAGACACAATATTGTCAATATTGTTTGTTTTCCCTTTATTTCGCCGACTATAATTTCAAAATGAAACCGTAGCAGAGTCTCAATGCAACACAGCGATGATTTCTTTACTGAAATCCGCGTTTTGAACGAATCACTTGCTTCTTTCCCGAATGAATCAGCCGTTTGAACGAATCACTTGCTTCTTTCCCGAATGAATCAGCCGTTTGAACGAATCGGTTGAATGAATGACTCCCTCAACTCACTTATTAAGACAGTGATTTGCCGCTGCGGTTTCATATTTAAAGTACTTTTTAAATAAAATGTTAAAATTAGAAATCCTTTCATATTTAAATATTGAATATTGATTTAAAAATATATATCTCATAGCTTTATTTATGCAGTTGTAAATGGAGTGTAAATAAATTAATGCCACTTCTGATGCCGCTTCTGTCACCTCTGCACTGCAAAGATGGATTTTGATTAAATGATTTAATTTGACTGTAACAGTGGTACTGTATGATTATTATATAATTAAGTATTATTGTATAATTACTGTATAATTTAATTTGAATGATAGTATTTGACATTAAAGGTGATGCATAACTCTAAATAAGTTTAGAAAAAATTTCCATATATAGGTGAAAATGCCCCTGAAAAAATCAATTTAAGGTGGCAAATATTGCCCCTTAATTAAAATATTAATTTCTGTCACTGCTGTGAACTGACCACTGCATAGAATATGAAAAACATTAATATCTTCGTGAGTCAGCTGTCAACAACAGACCTAAACCAGCCATGGCACCAGCACAAAAACACAATCAGTAAAATATCATCTAATTATTATCAACAAAACGTTGAAAATATCAAGATATATTTTTGTCAATACTGCACAGCCCTAATGTACGGTATTAATTTTGATTTCTTCAGGTCTTAAAAAGGTCTTAAAAAGCCTTAAATTTGACTTTCAAAAGTGTGCAGGAACCCTGGTATCAAAAGAATGAGAAGAAATAAATGCAATGATGTCATTAAAAAAATGACAAGTTATAGTGCTGCCGAGATATAAACCTGAATTAGCATGCTAAATTACTAGCCCCGGCCCGACTGGTGTCGTAATACCAGTTTCGGCCATGGGAGGCGGTATGCGGGCAACATAACCACCAGCCAAACTCCAATACACGAATAACTCGCACGGCTTGTGGGCGTACTTGAACCTGATGTCAATCGCGTCTATATGAGACCGGCCTTTATAATTTAGTGTTGAGATGTTGTTCATTAAGTCTCTAATCTCTAAAAATCTCCAAATTAACTGCGGTCTTACGATCGTGTCAATTGATTTGATTAGTATGCGCGAGGGAGAGAGAGAGCAGGAGGACTGCGCTCGTGTTGTTTGAAGACGTGAGAGTGCGCGCGCGCGGCCGGGGCGCTCTCTCTCTCTCTCTGCTCGTTATAAGCCCTGTCAAGCACAGCAGTCATTATATTCTACATCACTCACCGATCAAAATAGGCTTTGGCGGGACAAAGCGGACGGTTTGACGGTTTTAGAAGATTAACAACCCGAAACTAAAAAACAGACTAGAGTAGGCCAACTTTCTGGAGGTATACTGCCCCCATCTGGTATGGAATATGTGGATTTTGAATTGATTTTTTTACACAAGGCACCTTTAACTAAAGTTAGAAAAGTGAAATCATAATCAACCACCCCTTTAAGAACATTTGTTATTTTAAAAATAAAACCGACATGATATAGAATATAAATGTTAGATTAAAAACAAAATGAAAATTGGAAACTAACTGACATAAGTTTTACTAACTGGAAATAAATGAACTAAAACTGAAATATAAATAAAACAAACCTAAATAGTGAAATTAAAAACAAATAAATGACAAAATTGCTAAAATGAAAACTGAAAATATATTAAATTAAATCAAATTAATAAAACTATAATGGAATATAAATATTTAAATAACACTGCTGTGCTATACACTTAAAAAGATACGTTTAATGCTGACATATATATTGTTGTAATATTTTAAATTGGCTATGATTTTTATATATTAAATTTTCATTTTAGTAATCAGTTTTAGTAATTTTGTTTTGTGCTGTTATGCCAGTTTTATTAGATTAAAAAAAAAAAAAAAATTATAATTGTTATATTTTCAGGTAGTTGCAAAGGCAGCATTTTTAAGTTCAAGTTTTTCATTAAATATCGTATTCTTTTTTCACCTTTATTTCAATCAATGAAAACACATTTTAATAGTTTTGGTTAACAATAACACTGGTATTAATGTGTCTTCTCTCCCTGTAGTTTCATGTTCGACGAGCCGTCCAGTTATCTAGATGTGAAACAGAGGCTGAGAGCCGCCATCACGATCCGCTCCCTTATTTCTCCAGACCGGTGAGTCTCAGTCCTTTAGAAGAGAAGTTCACTTCAGAATTACAATTTCCTGATCATTTACTCAACCCCGCGTCATCCAAGATGTTCATGTCTTTCTTTCTTCAGTCAAACAGAAATGAAGGTTTTTGAGGAAAACACTCCAGGATGTTTCTCCATATAGTGACTTCAATGGGGTCCAACGGGTCGAAGGTCCAGATGTGAGTTTCAGTGCAGCTTCAAAGTCTCGATACGATCCAGCCGAGGAATAAGAGTCTGATCTAGACAAACCAGCGGCCATTTACAAAAAAAAAAAAAACATGTATATACTTTTTAACAACTACCGGTAATGCTCGTCTTGCACGTAATCACAGTCAAAGGTCACGCGTGTTCCGGTTCAAAATGTAGGATAGGGCGAAAAACTCAATCTCATTTTCTCCTTTAACTTTAAAATTCGCCCGAAATTGTTGTTTTACCTCATTTATTTATTTATTTGTAAAGGGCGTTTGACTTTCGCTTTGTAAACACTAGGTCTGTTCTTCCGCCTATGTCCCACTTGACCTTTCAACGTGATTACATAATGTGTGGCGCATCACAGCTAGCGCAAGATGAGCATTAGTGGTTAAAAAGTATATAAATGTTTATTTTGTGTATAAAATGGCGGATGGTTTGTCTAGATCAGACTCTTATTCCTCGGCTGGATCGTATCGAGACTTTGAAGCTGCACTGAAACTCACATCTGGACCTTCGACCCGTTGGACCCCATTGAAGTCCATTATATGGAGAAACATCCTGGAATGTTTTCCTCAAAAACCTTAATTTCTGTTTGACTGAAGAAAGACATGAACATCTTGGATGACGTGGGGGAGAGTAAATTATCAGGAAATTTTTATTCTGAAGTGAACTAATCCTTTAATGTTGAGGAAGCACAATCATAGTTCCTCTCTTTACTAAACCCTGAACCTCACATTGCTCTGTCTGTGTAGGTACATCATTGTGGTGGAGCACGACTTGAGTGTGTTGGATTACCTGTCGGACTTCATCTGCTGTCTGTATGGCGTTCCCAGCGCTTATGGTGTGGTGACCATGCCCTTCAGCGTGCGAGAAGGTACGAGCCTCTCGAAACATGCATGTGATGCTCAGGTGTGTGTGTTTTGAAAGGGTCCCTGTGGCTCTTTAAAGTCTTACATTTAGTTTTATCAAATTTGAGGTTATTAAAGTCCTAAAGTCCCCCTGTGGTGAAAATCAAGCTTTTAATGTTGTTTATACGTCTATGTGGTGTTATTAATATGAATTTGCACATGGTTTGTCTTAAAGCATAAGTCGACAGCATTGCTGAGTATTTTCTGCTTAAAACTGCAGTGAACCAAAGACAGTCTCAAAAACACGGTTTGAAATCGCTGGTGTTTCTGACGTCACAAACAACCTTGTAACCAATCAAATCATTGTGTGGGTGGGCTTTAGCATATCAGTAACTGTTCTCTGAAACAGGTAGTCTCGAGAGAAGCAGGTTATTTTTCTGTTGATATGAAAAATCGTGTACATTTGCCAATATAGCAGGTGAATTATGCGAGTTGTGTCATAAATTATAGGAAATTTTATATTTTGACTATAACGGGTTCCCACGGGTCCTTGAAATGCTTAATTTTGTGAAAAAAAAAAAAAATGTTTTTGAAAATAAATACAGGTCCTTGACAGTGCTTGAATTTATTTTGTGCAAGAATATTATTCCCTCCAGTCCACTAATGTGTTATTTTGTCAACACTTTGCTGCCTGTGCATACTAGCTAGCTTGATTTACGTTAGTTACGCGCATTTACGCGTTGCGTCAAGTGTTTCCCGCGTGAGGTACTTTGTGTTGTACGTTGCCATGGCGTTCACACGCGCAAAACTGTAACAATGTATCTTAAAAGGTAACGTGATGTAGCCTTGCTCTCACTGGAAATGTGTCCCCACAATAAGTCCTTGAATTTGAGGGTATTGGACCTGAAAAGTCCTTGAAAGGTCCTTGAATTTGAAGTTAAGCGAAGTGTGGGAACTAGGGCTGGGTAAAAAAATATCGATTTCTCGATTTTAATCGATTCTCATTTTTACGAACCGATATCGATTCTTAAATCCCAAGAATCGATTAGGCTAGTCATCCTGTTTTCAGTTGATGAATGAATGGAGCATTGTAGCGCTCATCCCATCCAATAAATCGCAATAATCTTTGTGCTTTGTTACTATTGATATGAAAAAAGTCTCAGATTTCTATTTACGTCCATGTTTGAAATAATCTGGCAAGTTTTTATGACAGCCACCATTTAAATGTCTATATATAAAAATAGTGTAATTTAAGTGTTTGTATACAAATCAGTATATAATTGCCAATATTATAGTAGGCTAATGAAGCCTATTGGCTACAACTGACTCCCATAGTTTACAGCATTAGTTAAGAGACTTGTTTTCCTTGAGAAAATTTGCCATGTATTGTACCTGATATCCAACATAATCAATATTGCATCGAATCGTGAAATTTGTGTCAATACCCAGCCCTAGTGGGAACCCTGCTATAATATTCTCCTCTTCTTTTAATTTCAGGAATCAATATTTTCCTGGATGGCTTCGTGCCGACGGAGAACCTGCGCTTTAGAGAGACGTCTCTGGTGTTCAAGGTGGCTGAGACGGCGGCTGAGGAGGAGGTGAAGAAGATGTGCCGTTACCAGTATCCCAACATGAAGAAGTGCATGGGAGAGTTCTCGCTCACCATCACTGAAGGAGAGTTCACCGACTCCGAGATCATGGTCATGCTCGGAGAGAACGGTGAGAGGAGACGTCTGTGCAACTATGCAGGATTTTCAGTCACTGTTAGTAAACAACATTCAGAAGCGCTCGCCTGGGGCCGGTACCATGAAGCCGGTTAAGTTGCTAGCAAGCTATGTTTCAGTTTAGTTTGCGCTAGCCATGGGTTTTAGGCACCATGAAAGTGGTTTGGCTTTTAGCCGTGTTCATCGCCATAGTAACCTGGTCTGGGTCAGGTGATGTTCCAGAGATCTCAAACCGAAATTGGACCAATCAGCTGTGAGCAACGGATAAAGTCACTCCACATGTTTCTACTCCAAATTAAACGTCACTACACGGCAAGTGATTTTTAAAGACAAAATCGTCTGGCTTTTAGTAACACTTATTTAGAATTAATAATTTTGTAAAATTTAGATAATATTTATGTAATTATTAATTGAACACATGTACAATTTTAGTTTATCAATTATTTTAGAAAAATTTGAATATCGTGCAAAAGTTATAATTTTGATGATTATGTCTTACAGCTTATGAAAACCACAAATTCAAAATCTCAGAAAATTAGAATATTACATGAAATCAATAAAAAAAGAATTTGAAATAGAGAAATGTCGGCCCTCTGAGGCCTATAATAATGCATATGAATATAGTTATATATACTAAATATATTAGTTTCACCTTTTAGTTTGAAGTACTGAAATACATGAACTTTTGCACAATATTCAAATTTTTCGAGTTTCACCTGTATATTAAACACAGGTCATATATTTAATTAATTAAATCGCCGCATTTGTGAACTCACCATGTATGGTTTTTAAATGGTTTTAATACATCGTGCAGCCTTAGAAAACGCTCTAATAATGCGGTTCATGGATTCTCGTCTGTGAAATGTGTGTATTTTGCTGGTTACTCGACGCGGGGAAATTGGAATCGTGACAGTCCTAATTGTTTATCATGCATAAATACCCTTTTTTGTGTATATGAAAGAATTTACATGACTTTAGCCATCTTTAGCAGGACACACCCGCTAGCCAAAGGTTGCATCCCAGAGACATCCCAAAATACATTTACATTTATTCATTTAGCAAAATACAGGCTCTGGAGACACAAACACACACAAATCAATACTTTATTATTATTATTATTGAATCCTGCGTAGAGCACCTTTAAAGGACGTGATTATTGTGATTGCATTATTTTCCACTAAACAAGTTTTTCCTGTTTCAGGAACTGGGAAAACCACGTTCATCAGAATGCTTGCAGGAGGACTCAAACCAGATGCCGGAGGTGAACATTAATATTCAGCATATTTCAGCTCATCGGAAATGAGATTATTCATTTTAAACCTTTTTTTTTTACTAAATTTATTTTATTGGTTTTTAATATTTGTACTAGATTGTATTATATATATATATTTTTTAAATCAAGTTAATCCAATTTAGTTTCAAAATATTTTAGGAAAAATGAATCTTGAATATCAGTCCAGCATCTCTTAAACATATTTTTAAACTCTGCTGGTTTAAGGTCTATTGTGAAATTATTTCGCTAACTTTTCTTTTTTAATAATTTTTTAACAGAATTACATTTTAGAGTTTTTATTCAAAGCAAATTGTTTTTAAAAGCCTTATATAGTGTTTAAAGTTTCATTTTATAGTATTTCTGTTACTTGCCATTAAAATAGCCAGAGCATCTGTCGTGGCGTCAACGATTTTTTTTAAATTCTATTATTAATGCAAATAATAATTATTAGAGTCTAATGTAGCTTAAATACACATGTATATATGATTACTTTTTCTTTTTTGGGACATTTGGGAATTTTCATCCCACAGGAATATCAAATCGACACACAAACAGGCTGATTTATACATGCAAACACACATTTTTAGATGCCTTTTAGTGGTGTGAGAGTGTGTGTTGTGTTTCTCAGGTGATGTGCCCATCCTGAACGTCAGCTACAAACCACAGAAGATCAGCCCCAAATTTAAAGTGAGTTTGAACATTGTGAGTGTTGGGCTGTAAACTATCGGTCAAACTGCAGGAATCCTCACTCTCTGTGTGTGTGTGTGTGTGTGTGTGTGTGTGTGTGTGTGTGTGTGTGTGTGTGTGTGTGTGTGTTTCAGGGCAGCGTGCGAGCCCTGCTGCACGATAAGATCAGAGACGCGTACACACACCCTCAGTTCGTCACTGACGTCATGAAGCCCATGCAGATCGAAAGCATCATCGACCAAGACGTGAGTAAACCAGCTTATTATTCAGGATGCAGCCAAAATATTGTATCGCCACTTTGCATTCTTTGATATATTCGAAGTATCCTGTATGTACATGTATTTAATGTTTACTTTTAAGTTGCTTGGAGCAACAACCTAAACGATCTGAAGTAGCGCGTCTACCTAGCTGGTCTAGAAAACTCAATCGACTCGAGTTTCAGTCTACCCAAAGATTGACGTGTGTGTGTGTATGTATATATGTGCACACACACAACAAAAGCACATAACAATATTGCTAAAAAGAAAATTTTCAATTTGGATTACAATTTTTGTTCGATTTTTTTTTTTCTTTTTTTTTTTGAGTCCATTGTGTAGTTTTTATTCAAAGCAACAAAATTATAAAAATAACTGACAATGTATATGTTGGGAAATTATTATTTATATATATTTTTTTTTTATGTGAGGATGTGTGTGTGTGTATATGTGTGTGTGTGTATATATATATATATATATATATATATACAATTTAAATGTATATTTTAATTGTTAGTAATCTTATGTGGTTTTGTTGTGCATATTTATATATATATTAGGGGTGTGCAAAGCAGCCGGTATTTGTATTTGTATTCGAGTAAAATTCCAAATAGGCGTAAAAATACTTTTTTTTGCGTTACACTTCTAATTTACGTTATAGTGTAAGACTTACATTATATATTTATACTAAGAATACTTAGTATTCTTTAATTATATCCATTATAATAATTATGGATATGCAAAATTGGTTGATGTTTTTCCATAAATCCAGCAATGAACATGTAACAAGGAACGTCATTGAAAAGATAATAACAATATGATATAATAAAATGCTTCCACACAGAACTTGAGCAAGTTTTTTTGGCTGGTGGAGGACCAAGAAAGAATATTGTCGTTCTGAGACCATTTACATCTAAAATAATGATAATGGCATAATAATGCAGGTAGGCCTACACCTTTTCAAAGATCAAAAAACTTTTATTTCTAAAGACTATTTAACACTGAAAATGGAAAACATTTTAAATATCCACAATAAATGAACAAAACAACCAAAAACAATAAAAGCAATGGACTCTCAGTCTCTGTTAACAAAAAAAGCACTTGAATAAATATCAAAAACAATAAATAAAATGGATGTAAACAAAACCTGACCCTACCCTATGATAAATTATTTTTTATTAAAGCATTAACACACAAACCACTGTTAATTTAACATAAAAGCAAGCAGCTACTGCGTGCATGGTCTGGCATGACTGAATGCGCTCAAAGTGCGCTCCCTTAATAATCCCTAAAAAGCTGACAGTTCATCGCGATCTCACACATCTCTGTTATTATCAATGAATCTTTCATAATATCCACACTTTGTTTGTTAACTTATAATTAGAGGATGTACCAGCATACATAATTCAGCACTGAACAAAAAGTCCGTTTTGAGCGGTGAGGGGAGTCTATCTTAAATGCTTCTGATTGGCCATTGCGTTCCAGAAATCAACACATATGTCTGTGATTGGCTACATCGCTCAACGCTGCAAACATGTTATGAATAGAAACTCTGGCCTGTAAATCGTTTCTATTTTGTTTTAGTTGTTCTTGTTACTTTTCTGCAACAGATGAATACAAATCTATTAGTCTTTATATGTTTTATTCATAGATATTTCTAGTTTGCGGGAGTCCCGCGAATCGTTTTATTCTCCCGCAACCCGCACACACAGAGTGAGTGCATTACCGCCCGCGCCCGCGCTCGGCCATCAGATCTAGTCCCGCGCCGCGTCAATCGCTTCCCGAAAGTTATAAACTGCCTCCGGAACCCAGTTAAGGTACAAAAATCTATTCAACAAAAATAGTGATGCAGTTAAGTGTTTTTCGCTCAGCCGAGCCCTCTCTGTTGCTGTGTGGACAGGGTTCCCGCGGATCCTTAAAAAGTCTTAAAAAGTCTTAAATTAGATTTTTAAAATTTAAGACCATAAAAAGTCTTATAAAGTCTTATTTTTACTTATGAAAGGTCTTAAATTTTAGATGACACTTTGACTTAGACATATCTAAAAGCTTTCCAAATTAAAACTATCTAATTAGCGTACGTATTTTTATTTATTTATTATTCTATCTTTGTGGATTTGCTAATTCACGTGACATTTCGCGTCACTCGCGAGTCGCGGCAGCATAACTGTCTCCTGCACGCGAGAGGAGAGAAGGAGAAGAGAGGTGGTAAATGTCAGTTCAGTTGTAAGTTCATTCTTTATGTGCGTATGGTGTGCGATGTGTATTGTCTATTATGATATTGTAATCATTGTTTTAACAATCTACGAGGCACTGCGAGCTGACATCGCATTTCTCTCGTGCTTTCACTGCGTGATGTGTGCAGTGTAACTGTTATGTCCCCAAATTAGTTTTTGTCTTATATTTATATCATATTATGTTCTTATATTAGAATATCACATCAGAAAGAGTGCCGTTTTCCCGTGCACAATTCCAAGTGTGATATTTATGTTATACAAAAGTTAAATTAACAATAAGTTAACATTGAGTTACTTTTTAGACACAATATTGTCAATATTGTTTGTTTTCCCTTTATTTCGCCGACTATAATTTCAAAATGAAACAGTAGCAGAGTCTCAATGCAACCGACAGCGATGATTTCTTGACTGAAATCCGCGTTTTGAACGAATCACTTGCTTCTTTCCCGAATGAATCAGCCGTTTGAACGAATCGGTTGAATGAATGACTCCCTCAACTCACTTACTCACAACAGTGATTTGCCGCTGCGGTTTCATATTTAAAGTACCCTTTAAATAAAATGTTAAAATTAGAAATCATTTCATATTTAAATATTGAATATTGATTTAAAAATAGGCTATATATCTCATAGCTTTATTTATGCAGTTGTAAATGGAGTGTAAATATATTAATGCCACTTCTGATGCCGCTTCTGTCACCTCTGCACTGCAAAGATGGATTTTGATTGAATGATTTAATTTGACTGGTAACAGTGGTACTGTATGATTATTATATAATTAAGTATTATTGTATAATTACTGTATAATGTAATTTGAATGATAGTATTTGACATTAAAGGTGATGCATAACTCTAAATAAGTTTAGAAAAAATGTCCATATATAGGTGAAAATGCCCCTGAAAAAATCAATTTAAGGTGGCAAATATTGCCCCTTAATTAAAATATTAATTTCTGTCACTGCTGTGAACTGACCACTGCATAGAATATGAAAAATATGAATATCTTCGTGAGTCAGCTGTCAACAACAGACCTAAACCAGCCATGGCACCAGCACAAAAACACAATCAGGAAAATATCATCTAATTATTATCAACAAAACGTTGAAAATATCAAGATATATTTTTGTCAATACTGCACAGCCCTAATGTACGGTATTAATTTTGATTTCTTAAGGTCTTAAAAAGGTCTTAAAAAGCCTTAAATTTGACTTTCAAAAGTGTGCAGGAACCCTGGTGGAGCAGCCTGTGTCAGTCACCTCTTCCTGAACGTCACACACTCACTCTAACGGGCATGCACTGCAGTGCGGTCTCACGAGGAAACGCAGCTTTTTGATATAAAGTTTTTCTTGTTCCCGAATACAAATATTTTTAAAGTATTTGTTCGAAATAAGTATTCGTAAAAAAATACGTTATTTGTGCCTTTCCGAATACCGTATTCGGGTTCGGCTCCACCCCTAACATATATATATATATATATATATATACAATTTAAATGTATATTTTAATTGTTAGTAATCTTATGTGGTTTTGTTGTGCATATATATATATATATATATGCACAACAAAACCACATAAGATTACTAACAATTAAAATATACATTTAAATTTTCTATTTGAATGACAATTTTTTTGCTTTATATTTACAAATATATATGTGTGTGTGTACTTCAAATTTTTTGTCTTTTGAAAGGTTTTTTTTCCATGTTGAAGTTTTTAATCTAATATTTGTATTTTATTTTATTTCAGCAATGACTGATTTAAAAAAAAAAAAAAAAAAATGTTTTAAGTGTTAGTTCCCAATGCCTACACAGCACATATTGACAGGTCACACTGGTGTGTGTGCAGGTCCAGAATCTGTCTGGTGGTGAGCTCCAGCGGGTCGCTCTCGCGCTGTGTTTAGGAAAGCCTGCGGATGTGTATCTGATCGACGAGCCCTCGGCATATCTGGACTCTGAGCAGCGTCTGATGGCCGCCAGAGTCATCAAACGGTAACATACTGCTGATTTTCTCATTTTATGTGGTTTATGCTTATTTTCATTTATTCGTCTTTCCTTTTTTTTTTTTTTTTTTTTTTTTTATGTATACAGAAATTTTACAAAATACACATATCGACCAAAAAAACACAGATAAACAACAATTTAAGAATAGACGAGACAAAAAAAGGAAGACCTTATAATTTGAAATATATGTGACCCTGGACCACAAAACCTCTTTTTTTTTATGGGTAAAAAAACCTTAAACCTGTTTTGTTATAACAGGACAATATTTGGCCGAGATACAACTATTTAAAAATCTGAAATCTGAGGGTGCAAAAAAATTGAAATATTGAAAAAATGACCTTTAAAGTTGTGCATTTATGTTCGCGATTATGCTGCATCCACTCACAAACATACATTTTTTAAATATATGTACGGTAGGAAATGTACAAAATATCTTCATGGATCATGATCTTTACTTAATATCCTAATGATTTTTGGCATAAAAAATTTTGACCCATACAGTGTTTTGTTGGCTATTGCCACAAATCTACCCGAGCGACTTATGACTGGTTTAGTGGTCCAGGGTCACATATGTCCTTTGGGGGTGTGGAGTGTTTAAAGGTATTAAGTAATTTCACATCTTTTACCCTTTCTTTCGTCACCTCACTCTCTCCTCCGTGTCTTTCATTGCCTGGCAGATTCATCCTTCACGCCAAAAAGACGGCATTCGTGGTGGAGCACGACTTCATCATGGCCACGTATCTGGCGGACCGAGTCATTGTCTTCGACGGGATTCCCTCCAGAAGCACCAACGCCAATGCGTACGTACTGCGCCTGCATCGATAATGTGTTTGTAATTGGGGATTCCTTTGCTTGACGCGCCATAAATTGAAACCGGTTTTGTACAAGGTGCTTAAAGTACTTGAATTTGACTCGAATTTGGAATTTAAGTCCTGGAAAACAGCCATATTTACCAAGAGGTGCTTGAAAAGTGCTCGACTTATTTAAATACAAAATATATGAAATTATTTTTTTGTTGTTGAAAAAACACAAAAAAAATTCACGCAAAATTAACCCATCAGACATCATCTCGATTAGCCTGACTACGTCAGACTTCCTACTTCCGCTAATTTCATTTCGCTCCTGTAGTCAGTCTGAGATAGCAGCCTATCTTTCTGTTTTCCACCGGCCTGAAAACAGCCTGGCCAATCAACGAACAGAGGGCGGGCTGAAAGCCGTGACGTAGTCGGTAAGCGCCGTGTTTAAGATTAGGTCAGGGAAATCGAAAACGACCGCTGATGTGGAGACGCGGATGCAATTCGCTCTGTTGTGGAGAATATTCCCGGCATTAGCAAACTGAAGCCCGAACACGAAGAGTGTGTATTAAACATTTTGAATGGAGGTGATGTTGTGGCCCTACTCCCTTTGGGAAAAGTTTAATTTATCAACTATTACTGATCGTCAGCGAAAAACTGGGGAGCCTTTTGACAGGTCAGTGTCTCTTTTCTTTTCCAGGTCTTAAATACCGTAAAACTTCAAATAATAGCCCGGGCTTTTATTTGCCCAAATCGTCGAACTGCACCGGCTTGTACTTGAGATAGGCGTCTAACTTATATGAGACAGGCCTTTATAGTTGAGATGTTGTTCATTGAGATGTTGTTCCTAGAGTCTATAATCTCTAAAAATCTCCAAATGCTCCACGTGAAACCGCGGTCTTCCGACCTCTTACTATCTTGTCGATTGATTTTTATGAATATGCGCGAGGGAGAGAGAGCAAGACAGCGCTCGTGTTGTTTGTAGACGTGGGAGTGCGCGCGCGCGGCCGGGGCTCTCTCTCTCTCTCTCTCTCTCTCTGCTCGTTTGTGCCCTCTCAAGCGCAGCAGTCATTCTATTACATCACTCACAGATCAAAAAAGTCGTTTACAGCCATGTTCACTCGGGTATTTCGCTCGCATCATCAAGTGTTTACAGTGGAAGTTCGATCATAGATTTGAGTTCGATGCATGATGTCTGTGGTTCGATGCGGCTGTGTCGGCGCATAACATACGTCATAAACAAACTTATCTGATTGGCTTACGGGTAACCAATGATTTTAAACTTCAGTACGCGCCCCCTAGCGAGAGAGAAAACACTTCTCTATTATGCTATCCCAGACTCTGTGTACGAAGCAAAGTGAAGTAGCAGAGTCTGGTATTACCAGGCTACATCTCGATACGAAGTACGCCAACATTATAATATAAAATATTATTAATTGAACAATAATACCCATTATAAATTAAATTCGTTGTAAGTTGTATTTTTGATACCTTATATCTGTAATTTGAGTTTAAAAAATCCTCAAAAAATATTAAAGATATATTGTTTGATAAGTGCGATCTCTGATTGTAGTCCTGGAATTTATTTCTACAGTATCTGTACAAACCCTGTTTTATGTGTAATGCATTACAGGTGTTCATAATGTACATTGTGATGCATTATATATTTTAATAAATTATTATGACCAAAATTAATATGCATTATAATATTAGCAGATTCCTTGTTACATCTGAAATGGGTTTTGTCATGTGATGTAATGCGTTATACTTTCTAAAGGTGCACCAGTAAATAAGTATTATAAGGTATCATAACTATTCATTAGATCGTACATTACAAGGCATAATTAATGCACAATAAATACTTTTTATTGTGGATTTGAGTAAAGTGTTACCAAAACATTTTCTATGGATAGAAAATACATTTTCCAAATGAATCAAATATTGCATGCTCTGTGAACGTGTTAGTGATTCTGCAACTAATGTCCATGTTGAAATGTTTCTCCTCAGTCCACAGAACCTGTTGGCCGGCATGAACAAGTTTTTATCTCAGCTAGGGATCACGTTCAGGAGAGACCCAAACAACTTCAGACCAAGAATTAACAAACTCAATTCCATTAAGGTAAACGTGCATTTCGAAACGACACTTTATCGCTTAAACTGGCGGATGGTTTTCCTTTGGATTACATTTAACCCAAAATTAAACTGTTACTTCATTATCAAGTGTTGATGGCAATTCAATCAAGTAGTGAAGTCAGCTTTATTTCTATAGATACAATACAGATTGTTTCAGAAGCTTCACAGTAATAAAAATGAACATAATGATGCAAACAAATTGAAATGCTGCTTTAAAAACACAGAAGACATTATTCAAGTCAGTTCAGTAACTGTGTTCAATCAAGTTCAATTCAGTTTGTTTTATTTTATTTGATAGTGTCAATGCAGTCAATAATATTAATAAATAGTCTTTTAAACCCCAGTACAGATTTTTTTAATGTTTCGCTGTAATATTAGTATTAATGCTTCAAAACTAACTTAAAGGGGTGGTTCAGGATTGTGGACATCAGTCCTCATTTCCAAGTGAGGCTGGGTGTTATTTATCAGTGGAGACATTTTCATCCAGTCGCTCCATTTTCATCCAGTCGCTTCGCTGGTGCTAGGCTAGCGCAAGTGAACGGTAACTGCTAGCCTGCCATTATAAACAGTTTTACCCACTCCACAGTACACCAAAAGCACATACATTATAACGCCAGACTATCGATGTAAATGTCTGTTGAGAGAATAATGTTAGAAATCAAACTACCCTTTCATCGCATTGCAATAGTTATACTTTGTTCCCTGTATTTATTAGCAGTCTACAGCAGCGGCGGAGGGATATGTAGTTACCTAGGCTAGAGAGAGAGAGAGAGAGAGAGAGAGAGAGAGAGTTTCTGTTCTGTGTTTACTCTTCGGCGCAGTACTACTAACCGGAGCAACCGCCGCTGCTGAGAAACTAGTTCCTGTAAATGTAATGTGATCATTGAGATGCAAGAGTAGTTTGATTTCTAACATTATTCTCTCAACAGACATTTACATCGATAGTCTGGCGTTATAATGTATTAGCTTTTGGTGTACTGTGGAGTGGGTAAAACTGTTTATAATGGCAGGCTAGCAGTTACTGTTGACTCTTGCTAGCCTAGCACCGGCGAACTATGCAACTGGAACGACTGGATGAAAATTTTTCTCCATTGATAAATAACACCCAGGCTAACTTGGAAATGAGGCCCGATGTCCAAAATCCTGAACCACCCCTTTAAACGCAAAGGTTTCGAAGCTTCACAAAGCGTGTTTTTGAAAGCGCTCATCACAACCTTGAAGGTCCTTAGTCTTGTGTCTTTGTACCAGTTTATTAAAACCCCTTTTTCTGTTATCGTTTTTAAGGATGTGGAACAAAAGAAGAGTGGAAACTACTTCTTCCTGGACGACTGAAGATCCGCTCAGTATGACATCAAACCGGCAAACGCTGGCACTGCGGACTTACATGTTTGACTGAATTACCACCGCCGTCACACTGCCCAGCGGCTCCATTTCAAACACACACTTCTGCTCTCTCCTCTCGGCCATTGGTGCGATTCAACAAACGACAACATGACAAGACCTGCGAGATGAAAGCCAAGCTTGTGAAATCTTCGCCAGAGAGAGGAGAGGACATGAAACCTGGAAAATATGTATGTTTCTGGGTGAATTACTGTTATCATCAACATAACTGAAGTTATTTCTGGTCATAAAGTGGTGTGAACGGCTTAACACACGGCAAACATGCAACTGTATATTTTGAATAAAATATTTTAATCATGTTACACGATGTGTTGCATCATATTAACCAGATTTCAACAAGATTTGGCTTTTGAGTTCAGCAGTCATGTGAAGATGCAACTGAAGCTGAAATTAAAACCAGCTAAACAAAATCTGATGTCTCCGTAATATTGGGTGACACGTCTGTGCAGTGAGATTGTTTACGAATAAACTGACTTTAAATGGAAAGACCACAACCGAGAAAGATGTTCTTTGGCTTGTATTTGTTGTTTATTGGGTGTCAAAACTATATTTACTTCACCTTTTTTAAAGGAATTGCAACTAAAAACTGACTTCAAATGGAAAAATTACAACTAAAAAAAAAAAGGTATTTGAATTTGAAAATTTGATTTGGTGTCAAGGTTATGAAATCATAACTCAAAAAAAAAAAATCTTTGAATTTGAAGATTTGATTTGGTGTCAAAACCACATAGGGTGAATTCATGTTTATTGGGACATTTCCTTCCCAGTCATTTCATTGTCAAAAAGTGTCAAGTTGCAACTAAAACCTAACTTGATGTAAAGATTACAAAAGAGAAGGATGTTCTTTGGCTTTTACTTGATATCAAAAACAAATTTGTACTTCATTTGTTTTGATAATGCAAATGGAAGTTCCTTCAATAAACCTTACTTAGAGAACACACTAAAACTGACAGGAATATAATTAAATCTGGTCACATTAAAAAAAAAAAAAAATCTTGGAGGGAATTGCAACTGATAAATGGAAAGACGACAACCGAGAAAGATATTAGGCATTTATTTGTTTATTCGGTGTTAAAACATCTTTGGATCAGAAATGCAATTTATTTAGAGGCATTAACGTTCATCTGGAAGAGGTTGGGAGTGCACGATAAAGATTTCGTCAAAGGAAAACAATGTTGTTGAAATCCCCCCCAAAAATACACAAGTAAAACACGACAAAAAGGCACTTTTCTATGTCAGGTGAGATGCTACACCATTATACGCTCTGAATCTTGCAAGCTTTTCAGGAAAAATCTCAAGACAGTCTAAAAAAAAACACGCTAAAAGATGTAGAACATTCTTGACATATAACTTTAAATTAAAAAAAAGATTGGAAAGGAAAACTATAATAATCAAATTCACATAGATCTGAAACATTTATACATTCAAACCAATATAATGGTATGATCTAAATTTTTTCCCTTTTAGTGTGCATGTAGGGGAAGTGCATTCTGCTCAACAAGAAAACAAAAAAAATCGATTATTTATTCGATTTTATTACAACATCTATGCAAACAAACATTGTGAAAATCCAAACATGAAACCGAGTTGCTTTAATTTTAAACAAGAATGTTTGTGGGGGAAAAGACAGAAAAACAATTAAAAACATTGGATATATTACTAATCAATAATGTACCAAAAGCCACCCAAAAATTCAAACAGATTTTGTGTATCTGACATCATTGTAAACCAAAAACAAGTGTATATCCAGCATTTAAGCATCACTGATATGGCAACTGCCCGACCCTTGGCCCTGCACCTCGTCTCCCATAATGTCTATAGGACGACTGGTCATCCGGTCTACCCCGACTAGAGTAATCTTTCCGTCCACGGTGACTCCGACCTCGATATCCACCTCTATCTTCTTGGCCACGTCTTCCTCCACCTCTATAGGACTGGCTATAGAACGAATGGGCAATTCTGAGATCCACATTGGGAATCTCCATCTCTTCAACTGACCAATTGTCATCGGGAGAATATGCGTGGAGGAGGCGGGAATGATCTTCAGCAAATTGTCCAGCGTGGAGGTTCTTTGCGTAGACTCTTCCTAAGTTCCCATTACCTAGAGAGGTCAATCCCGTCATGTCTCCTTGCATTTGGCCAAGCTGGAAAGGTTGTATCACAGAACAAGCTCCAGGATAGTGTGGAGGTTGCATTGTGGCCATTGAAACGGGAATATCGACCGGTTTGTAATCAACACTACTCAACTGAGGTTGGGTTCCTGGGAAGCCAGGGATCTTATGCATGGACCCATACTGGGGGCTCATATTCATAGATCGCTGGCCATTTTCTTGACCTCTATCCAATGTGGAAGGAACAAATGGCAAGACATCCATCCGACCATGAGGAACATGGTTTAAGGCTTCATGAGGCATCGATTGAGGCGGGATATGATGGTACCCAACAGATGAAGGCGAATACATCTGATTCCCATGAGGTGCACAGGGTTGCGCTGAAAACTGCATTTGAGGGGAAGCTGGGTAATTCCCAGAATAGGCACTTTGGCCAGAAGAAGTTGACCAGGGCATTGGTATTCTTGGTGGGACCTGCATCGGAAGGGATTGAGGATGATGGTTATTGTACCCTCCCATCTCTATGGGACCAACAGGACCGCTACTAACTGGTACCGGTGCAACGGGAGCATGACTCTCCAATGAGGAGTCAGGGATTGAGCTCAAATTCTGAGGAGGAGAAGGGTTTTCTGGTTGCCATGAAGTCATTGTGGGATTTGCGGGAGAGTCAGGAGGAGGAGGAGGAGGACCTCTGAGTTGCATCTGATAGGCTTGGTTAAGTGGACCCAGATAAATGATGGGAGGAAACATTGGCTGAGAGTATGCCTGAGGAAATTGGGAGTATGTGAATAAACTTCTATGTAATTCCAGAAATAGTGATAGCCATTAAAGTCATTAAAGAAGCAACAAATGCAAAGAAGAAGTGTACCTTGACACCGAGGTTGAAGAAGAACCTGAGGACATTGATATCTGAAATATAACAAAAAAAACATTACTAAGATTAAAAATCTAATTTCTAAGATTAAAAAATGGCATTTAGTCCTGAATAATGGGCTACTGAGAGGATATTGTAGTCAATTCAATGGCTTTTACAGGTATATATCAGATCTTTGGGGTTTTCATTACCTTGTGGAAGGTCTTCTCCTTTTTGGGAGAGGGAAAAGGGAGGCAGTGGTTCCACCTCTCCCTTCTCGTTCAGGGGGAATCCTGGATAAACTGGGTCCTGGAGGAGCTGAGACCATTGGTGATGAGGATAGGGCATTTGTTGGGGTTGGGATGGGTGGTCAGGAGCAGGGGCTACACCTGGCGGACAAGAGATGCTCTGTGAGAACTCGGTTGATTATACTAGGAAGTCAACATTTGTAACCAGATTTACTCTATGCATTTCAAGTAATGTCATGTCTAAATGTCAATCACGTTTACACACTGCCTCCGAAACTTTCGTCCGTCATAAAAAAATTTGGATCGGGTAAAATTTTCTGCGTTTTTCGCATACGTAGCAGGCATTTTGAGAATTCAGAGCCACCGTACAAGTGAAGGGCCAATTTCAGAACTGTTCAAGATCAATTGTCCTGAAATCCTGAAGTAAACTTTGAATCGCTCGGGATAATCCTGCAGCTCCTTGATGAGGAGGGACTCTCCTTCCTCTCTACACATTCTCAGGATTGGATGGATGGACCCGATATTTCCTTTCTTTTCCTCTTTTTAAGAAGAGAGAGGACAACAAAATCATCCTCACTCCTTGAAGACTCAATTTTGTATTGTTTTGCGATATGTAACTCAGTGTGCAAGGTTTCTGTGCGTGACGAATTTTTAGGATGCCGAATACAAAAAAACAAGCGGCAACCTTCCGGTCTCTCTCTTGAACCCACTTAAACTGCAATTCATAGACTGGCCACTAAAGACAAGCTGCAAAAGAGAGTAAATCCTACAGACCCCCCATGTTAAATTTCCCAAATTTACAGCAGATAAAAATATGTTTACAGCCTAGTGCAAAAAGTGGTTTTGGTCTATATAGCTAGTTTTGCCCTTCATGACAACTATGAGGGGGGTGAATTTTTGTATAACTCATTCGTTTAAATTATATTACGCCTTAAAGTTCAGCATAATTATGGGCGTGCCCACTTGAGTGACAGGTGGATTGCCGCTGCTGTCACTACTAGCCGTTTGTCTGCTAGAGTCACGTCACCTCAGCTAATCCCGCCTCTTTGCCCATTTTCGGTTAATCACAACACCAAGATGGTGACAGCCCACTTTGTGCCTCAAAAATCCTCTTCAGAAACCTACAGGTGACGTCACAGACACTACGTCCATACTTTTCCACAGTCTATGGAAATTTCGGACTCAGTGTGCAAGGACCTTAAGTCTTAATCAGACAAAACTTACCAGAGGAAGGTATGGCCGATGTTTCACAGGGTTGTGGATCTGATGCATTGCATGGTGACTGAGGTAAGTCTGGAAGTGGAGCATGGGCAGGACCAGAGGAAGGGGAGATGGAGGGGGCATAAGCTTTGGGAGTTATAGTGGTATGAGGATCTACAGTCTGTTGGGCAATTGGTGGACCACTTCTTCCATCAATGGGAAGGGTGGTAGAAGGCGGTTCTGGGGCATCTAGTATACGGGCAGCTGCCGGAGCTTGGCCAGCAACAGGTATTGCAGAGGCAGGTAAGAGGGGTTGATTGGAAATAAAAGTGGTTTGAATGGACGGGGTGGATTCAACAGGGGCATCTGGGATTGAGCCACAAGATGCCAGAGTAACTCGAGTTGGGATAGCAGGAGGTACTTGAACAGGGGTGATCGGAGATGCAACCAAGTTGATCTGAGATGGTGCTTGATTGGGGTGGGTAATATGCTCAGATGTGGGGAGCACTGGGGTAGTTTGCAATGAGGGTTGGGTCGGTTTCAATGCAGGGGCAGATTGAATAGATGCAAGGGTGGGAACTGAGACTGCTGCCACTGATATGGGCTGTGAAGGGGCTAAAGTGGACACCAACTGACTGTTGTAAGGGCTTCGAGGATGGCTATTCTTTGGCTGAATAGGGGTCTTTGCCTCAAGAGAGGATTTATCAAGACCAGGGGCAGTAGCAGATGAAGTCTGAGATGAAGATGGGACTGTTTTGGGGCCAGAGAAGATAACAGCAGGATGTGGAGTTGGAGAGACAGCCATGGGTTTCTCTTGTAATTTCTCTTTTATTGTTGGAGAAGATCTCTGCACTGGTTCCTCAGAAACCCTTATCTAGAACACAATATAAACCAGCAACTTGTAAGGACAAAGAAATTAGATTAACATGGAAGGGACAGGATATATTGATTGTTTTGTTGCTATACACCTGGATAAGGTGATTACAACACTTTCTAGTATACTTGGTTATCTCTAAGACATAAGTTGAGTACCAAATGACGCACTACGCACTTATATTATATACTCAACTTTGTAGTGTATGAATTTTATAAGGTTATTTTGTCATTCAGCATCAGAGCCTGATGCCCCCCACAATTTATTCTACAAAACAGAACAGAGTAATGCAAATTGGTATGCAATTAAGTGTGCAAATTGGGAGCACCTGTCAACAGTTTAAACAAAGCCATAATAAATAGTCCTGAATCAGCTGTTATCCACGTAAATGCCTCAATGCAACTCACCCCAGGTTTGTCTTCAGTGGCACTCTTCTGTCTCTGTACAGGCCTCTGGGATGTTTCTGATAGCCGAAAACCAAAATAAACTTCAGGATAATAATTCCATTTATAAATAAAAATATGATCAGCCATGTTAGCAATATCAAGGCAATGCAATATTTTTTTTAAAGGGACTGTCTATTGTGCTGTATGTTTAAGCTTATGTGTATATTTACATTATAAAGAAGCCTACCTTGACATACTTGCTTCTTAATAATGTATATTTAGAATCTGTATCATTTAGAAGGCTATAATTTCTTCAGCATGGCAATTTTGTAAAACCTGTATATAAAGGGGCGGAGCTTCACCTGTCTCTGAAACACACTCCTTCTGTTCCTTCTTCCGAGAGCCTTTCCTTTCCCCTCCTTTCTTTACGACCTCACCAGCAGTGGCCTAAATTCAGAGGAAACTATTATAGCACAAATATATGGAGTTGTATCTTTGTCATTAGGTCAGGTACTTTACACATGTACTGTACAGGAGTACTAAAGTACTGAACTGACCTGAGCTGAATAAAGGCACTATAAGAGCTTCTTTAATCTTAATTTAGATTTGATGAAGTTTGCAATTGATTCTGTAATTTTCTTATTACTGTAAAGCTGCATTGAAACAATATCTATTAAATAAAGCGTATATTTAATATGAAAAACGTTTGAGAGATAAAATCAGGGTGAATGAAATATGACCCTAATAATCTTTCTTAATAAATGTCTCTATTTGCGAATGCATATTATTAAGAAAAGTTGTGTTAAGGATAGTGCTGTCAAATCAATTAATCGCATCTAACATAAAAGCTTGTTTTTATATAATATATATATGTGTGTATATATGTATGTATATATATATATATATATATATATATACAGTATATATGCATACATGAGTATATATACACACTCACGCACATATATTATATAAACACAAACTTTTATGTTAGATACGATTAATCAATTTGACAGCACTAGTAGAAATGTTTGTTTTTATTGTTGTTTTAAATAAAAATGTTTATTTTCCCCAACGACTATGTTTTTCCCTTTTGGCATAACCATGGCCATGGGGTGTAGAAAAAAACAATAAAACCATAGCAATAATCTCATCATAATAATATTATTTCTACCTGAATATCATGCTTCACAGGTGAAACTCGGAAAATTCGAATATCGTGCAAAAGTTCGTATATTTCAGTAATTTAAATAAATAGGTGAATCTAATATATTTAGTATATATAACTATATGCATGATTATACTTTTCAGAGGGGCGACATTTCTGTATTTAAAATCCTTTTTTTATTGATTTCATGTAATATTGTAATTTTCTGAGATTTAGAATTTGGGGTTTTCATAAGCTTGTAAGACATAATCATCAATATTATAACTTTTTCACGATATTCGAATTTTTCGAGTTTCACCTGTATAGAAGGTAAATGTGTTTGCAAGGGCTGCACCGTTTGAGGGCTTGTTCCTAACGAGGGGAAGTTGTGCTCGTCTTTGTGAAGAAGCTCCAGCACGACGCTCTCCTCTTCCTCCTCTGGAAGAACACACACAGGACTGCTGCGCTGATCAGACCGTCTGCAAACACACACCAGCAAGAATTTTACACAAATCAAGTGTCTTTCGAAGCCTCTTTCTGCACAAAATGAGCAGTGTTGGGGGTATCGTTACAAGTAACTTGAATAACGTAATCAGATTACTTTTTCAAGTAACTAGTTAAGTAACGCATTACTAAACCAGAACTGCACGCATATTTAAATTTAATAAATGTTTGTTTTAATTAGTTATTCATGCAAGGGTTGGGAGCATCCTTAAAATAGGTACAGGTCATTTAGGTTTGTATTTGTATGTGTATAAATGACATGCTGTATGGGCTTTATTCCAAGATTAGTTTTTTTTTTAGAAAAGCATTTCTAGGGACCCGAGACGCAAATTAGCTTATGCTATTTTCTCGATGTGCAATACATATTTTCCAGTTTTCAACTGGATTCATGTTTTTTTGTACTGTCCCTATATAAATAAACTAAATAAATAAATACTTTTTCAATTTACAACAAAATATCGAAGTTACTTTTTCAAATAACTAACGCTAGTTTTTCACATTTATTGACCGACAGCTCTCCTGTCCTCATGTTGAGAGAAATAAAGTGAGGAGGTGGTGTGTGTGTGTGTGCTGTGTGTTGTGTGTGTGTGTGTATGTGTGCGCTGTGTGTGCGCTGTGTGTGTGTGCTGTGTGTGTGTGTGTGTTGTCGTGTGTGTGGTGTGTGTGTGTGTGTGTGCTGTTTATACATGCTGATTATTGTAGTTCTAGTCTAAATGTGAACATGTTTGCTCATCTCACTTGCACGAAAACAGTATTCAGTATTCCTCAAAATGATTAAAAACAGTAAAATGCCATTTTAGAATTTTACGCAAAACTTTTATAATTAACTATATTAAATTACACAAATATACTTTATGTATTTAATCTCACTTTATTAACCAATGTCTTTGATGCTGAACTTTTTTTTGTTGTTAATAAAAATCAAAAAAGCAAGACCAGCCCAAGTGAGAAAAAGTAATGCAAAAGTAACCTAACGTATTACTTTTCATAAAAAGTAACCTTTTCATAGTTCCTTGAACTATTGGCAGAAGTTTCTGGATTTTGGCGTGTTCGCACCGCAGGAACTAGGAACGATTTTAGCTCTGGAACCCCTTTATTTGGAGGAACTAATTTACTCCTACTTCAGAGTCGGTCTAAGCCAGCGCTATAGGAACTACAGTGCCGTTAGTGTTCGCTGATTGGCCGAACGCACGCGAAACACCAGCACCCGCCATTTAAAAAGGCTGTGTACACACACAGATTATAGCCATTATATTTACTCAGAAACTAACTATATGAACATGTACAACAGTGATAGATGAGCCTCTTAATCTTTACTCTGAGGAGAAACTCCAACACAACTATGAGGAGACCGAGAGAAACATGATTATGTATTTCTGCTCTGCAACACTGGACATCAACCACACGCCGTACGCTAGTAACTCTTCATTACTGTCTACTTTCTATGTATAACAGTTCAATCTCACACCGTATTAGACAGGACTGTTAGATGTAAACGAATGAACACGGAGAATACGAGCACTGTGTGTCCAGTCGTTCTCAGCGCCGTCAAAATAAAAGTCACAAAGACAAGCGCGGCTCACGTCACTTCAGAGATCCTACTGGCGCTGCGAACGCAACCAGGAAAACGTTCCAATGGGAACCATTAGTTCTCCTATAACTAAGTTCCTGGTGCAAAAGCCCTTTAAGTAATGCAATTAGTTACTTTTTTTGGGAGTAACGCAATATTGTAATGCATTACTTTTTAAAAGTAACTTTCCCCAACACTGAAAATGAGACACAAAATGCAGGCGTAAAATGAAAATGTGTGATATTTGTAACTACAGGCCAGTGAAGCGCACCTGAACTTGTTGCGTCCCCCAGCGGGCTCCTCCGGGAGGGCTTGCGGAGGCCAGGAGTGTTGCTTATGAACTCGACCACTGGACGCTGACTGAAGCGGGGCTTTATTTGACCTCCGACCTCCTCTGCTCTCCCATTCTGCATTGAGAAACCCAGACAGTGAGTGTGTGTGTGAGTTGATGCCATTGAAGTGTGTTTTTGACCTGGAGAGATCGTACCGGAGGGCGCCGGCGCGCCGTTGTTCGGTACGCTGTGTCTTTTGCTCTTGTCTGACACCGTCTGCCATGACTGAGGCTCTTCAGATGGAAGACGCAAACTCAACAACGGCACAGTTTGTCTAAACACACAAACACAAGGTGATTAATAGTTTAATATTGTATATTGTTATATTAGGGCTAAGAGTAAAACCATTTGTTTTTGTCTTAAAGATGTTTTCTTTCTTTTAAGGAATTTTTATCATGGTATTACCTGTTGGTTAATGGAAATAAAAAATAATAATAATTTGACTAACTTAAAAATAATTTTATATCGATACAAAGAGCAATTTATATACAGTATATACATATATACACATACACTGCCGTTTCTTCTGCTCACCATGCATTTATTTGATTAAAAATACAAAAAAAAACAGTAATATTGGGAAATATTATTAGAATGTAAATCAACTGTTTTCTATGTGAATATATAGTAAAGTGTAATTTATTCCTGTGATCAAAGCTGTATTTTCAGCATCATTACTCCAGTCTTCAGTGTCACATGACCCTTCAGAAATCACTCTAATATGATGATCTGATGCTCAAGAAACATTTACGATTATTATCAATGTTGAAACATTTTTCTTTGATGAATAGAAAGTTTAAAAGAACAGCATTTATCTGAAGCTTTTGTCACTTTTACACTACCGTTTAAAAGTTTGGGGTCAGTAAGAATTTTTAATTTTATTTTTTGGGGGAAAAAATAAAAGAAATCAATACTTTTATTTATCAAGGATGTATTAAATTGATCAAAAGTTAGAGTAATGACATTTATAATGTTACAAAAGATTCTATTTCAAATAAAAGCTGTTCTTTTCAACTTCGTTTTCATTAAAAAAATCCTGAAAAAAAATTGTACACAACTGTTTTCAACTATGAATTTCTTTGAGCATCAAATCCGCATATTAGACTGATTTCTGAAGGATCATGTGACACTGAAGACTAAAGATGTAATAATGCTAACAACAACATCAGTCAGACTCAAGACTTCGACAATGTATGGATTTGAATACTACTGTACTTACCCAGAAGTCTCTGAAAACACCTTTATGGAAGCTTGTTTGCGCCACAGAATGAAAAATAAAAAAGGTAATTGTGATGTAAAGGACAATTGCGCGATGTAAAGTCAGAATTGATTGATATAAAGTCGAAATTGCGTGTTGTAAAGTCAGAATTGTGAGATAAAAAGTCTCACTTCTGTCTTTTTTTCTCGCAATTTCGACTTTATTTCTCAAAATTGCGACATTATTTCTCAGAATTGCGACATTATTTCTCAGAATTGCGACTTTATTTCTCAGAATTGCGACTATTTCTCAGAATTGTGAGATAAAAAGTCTCACTTCTCTCTTTTTTTCTCGCAATTTCGACTTTATTTCTCAGAATTGCGACATTATTTCTCAGAATTGCGACATTATTTCTCAGAATTGCGACTTTATTTCTCAGAATTGCGACTATTTCTCAGAATTGCGACATTATTTCTCAGAATTGCGACTTTATTTCTCAGAATCGCGGCTTTATTTCTCAGAATTGAGACTGTATTTCTCAGAATTGAGACTAAATCTCAGAATTGCGACCTTATTTCTCAGAATTGCGACTTTATTTCTCAGAATTGTGACTTTATATCTCGCAATTGGGACTTTATTTCTCAGAATCACGGCTTTATTTCTCAGAATTGCGACTGTATTTCTCAGAATTGCGACTTTATCTCTCAGAATTGCGACTTTATTTCTCAGAATTGCGACTTTATTTCTCAGAATTGCGACTATTTCTCAGAATTGCGACTTTATTTCTCAGAATTGCGACTTTAAATCTCACAATTGCGACTTTAAATCTCACAATTGCGACTTTAAATCTCACAATTGCGACTTTATTTCCCAGAATTGCGACTTTATATCTCGCAATTGGGACTTTATTTCTCAGAATTGCGACTGTATTTCTCAGAATTGCGACTTTAAATCTCAGAATTGCGACTATTTCTCAGAATTGCGACTTTATTTCTCAGAATTGCGACCTTATTTCTCAGAATTGCGACTTTATTTCTCAGAATTGTGACTTTATATCTCGCAATTGGGACTTTATTTCTCAGAATCACGGCTTTATTTCTCAGAATCGCGACTGTATTTCTCAGAATTGCGACTTTATCTCTCAGAATTGCGACTTTATTTCTCAGAATTGCGACTTTATTTCTCAGAATTGCGACTATTTCTCAGAATTGCGACTTTATTTCTCAGAATTGCGACTTTATTTCTCAGAATTGCGACTTTATTTCTCACAATTGCGACTATTTCTCACAATTGCGACTTTAAATCTCACAATTGCGACTTTAAATCTCACAATTGCGACTTTAAATCTCACAATTGCGACTTTAAATCTCGCAATTGGGACTTTATTTCTCAGAATTGCGACTGTATTTCTCAGAATTGCGACTTTAAATCTCAGAATTGCGACTATTTCTCAGAATTGCGACTTTATTTCTCAGAATTGCGACTTTATTTCTCAGAATTGCGACTATTTCTTAGAATTGCGACTTTAAATCTCACAATTGCGACTATTTCTCAGAATTGCGACTTTATTTCTCACAATTCTGACTTCATATCTCGCAATTGTGAGATAAAAAGTCGCAATTATTTATTTATTTATTTTAATTCAGTGGCGGAAACAAGCTTCCATATCTTCACACATATATAGAGATAAATAAAACACGTACGGTCTGTTGAGTTCCTCAATGAACACAGTGACTGGCCCATTGTCAGGACTGACTTCCTGAACGTAAGCGTTATAGAAGCGATTACTGCCACTCAGCTGCACCTGAGGAAGACAGAGGAACCCAATCAAGACAGCTCTGAAGATGATCTACATTTGATGTGTAGATATGCACTTCATGCGTAAAATGCGTGTTTTAAACAAAAAACGTGAAGTGACTAAGTTAAAAAAAATACAAATAACAATGAAAACGCACAAAAATATATAGTAAAACCACTTTTTTTAAAAATCGAATTAATAAAAACAAAAATAGGGAAATAAATAACAGCATATACATAGACTACTGTTCAAAACTTTTGGGTCAGTAAGACGTGTTTTTTTTATGTTTATTTAGCAAGGATGCATTAAACTGATCAAAATTGACACTAAAGACATTTATAATATTACAAAAGATTCTATTTCAAATAAATGTTGTTCTTTTGAACTTTCCACTCATCAAAGAATCATGAAAAAGAAAATGTATCAGCATTATTAACTGTTTTCAACACTGATAATAATCATAAATGTTCCTTGAGCATCAGATCATCATATTAGAGTGATTTCTGAAGGATCATGTGACACTGAAGACTGGAGTAATGATGCTGAAAATACAGCTTTGATCACAGGAATAAATTACATTTCACTATATATTCACATAGAAAACAGTTATTTTAAATTGTAATAATATTTCACAATTTTCACTGTACTTTCGATCAGTGATCAGTCGATCAGTTTTTGATCCCCACTCCAAACTTTTAAATGGAGTGTACATGTAATAATCAAATGCAACTAAAAAATAAAAAGTATAAAAACATCAACACACACACGCTGCTAACCTTGCACTTGTCTCCAATAGCGTATTGCATTCCTGCGGCAATGCAGAAATCTCGCTGCTGTTGAACTAAACACACACATAGTTATTAAAAATATTAATATAAGTTATTCAATCAAGATACTTACTTTATTTCAAAACAGTAATGAAAAAAGCTAATGTACTTCGTTTAGAGCGGAGCCACACATCATACTCCACGTTCCTGTAGAGGGCGGGGTTTAGGGACTTTTGTGCCTTAGCGGACAGGAGGCCACGCCCCCTTCCTCGAGACTGGCCCCTCCCACGACCCTGAAGCACAGATAGACCCGTCACCACAATATTTCATCATACAAAGTCAGAGTGTCTTCAAAAAATACTGATATTTCAATCTTCAAGAGAGAGCAAATCACCCTCGGCGGTCTGACGTTCATCACACTGGTCATCTTTTCTCCGCTTTCACTGGACCTAATAAGACCAAATACACACACACCAACATTTTTAATAAAACTAGTTATAAAAATTGTATTTGCTATGTATTTAACCTCTGTTGATACATATTTCCAAGTGAAGCAGATCATAATGTAGGGCAGGACTTGATTTCATGCATTGGAAATGACTGGATCATAAAACAATAGCTGTATTTCTATCCAAAGCTGATAATTTAACTAATGCACAAAATTGGAATATTGCATAAAACATTTGCAAATAAAGCACTGTTTCCACCCCATGTGTTCAAGGGAACAAAATCGTCACTTTCTGGGAAATTGGCGCAAAATATCTGTAATAAAAAGAGGAAACTGTGGCTCTTTTAACCTCCATCATAAATGAGGAAATGCAATAAACGCTCGGATGCTGGTGTTTGTGAACGCAATCGTGTGAGTCGCTTCTGGAGGGAATTAAACCAGATAACTTTAATGACTCAGGCGTTTCAGGATGACTAAACCAACATCTGAGATGCTGTGATGTGATTGGTCCACTGGTTAGTCCAGTTATCCAATCACATCCTCTGTTTGAGGGAAAGTCACGTCAGTTTTTGTTGCGCATCGAGGGAATTTTTCGGTAAATGTGTTTCCATCGTAGTTTATGTGCATCGGATAAAAAATTATCCACATTCGTTTTTTAGGCACATTTTTTTAATTTATACACATCATGGAGTTTCCATTCAGTGTTTTTAATGCGGTTTCACCAAATTCACATAAAAAAAAATAGGGGACTGGACAAAAGCTTTCTATTTCAGAAAAATACTGTTCTTTTGAACTTTCTATTCATCAAAAAATCCTGAAATAAAAATGTAAATAACTGTTTTCAACATTGATAATAATCAGAAATGTTTCTTGAGCATCAGATCATCATATTAGAGTGATTTCTGAAGGATCATGTGACCCTGAAGACTGGAGTAATGATGCTGAAATACAGCTTTGATCACAGGAATAAATTACACTTTACTATATATTCACATAGAAAACAGCTGATTTAAATTGCAATAATATTTCACAATATTACTATATTTTTTTGTATTTTCAATCAAATAAATGCAGCCTTGGTGCATTCTTTTTTAAAACATTAAAAATCATACCGATCCAAAACTTTTGATATATCAAATTATATATATATATATATATATAAAATGATATATTATAAGCCTATAGATTAAGATATGCCAATACCAGTCCAACGTGTCATCATCCGCTCATTAAAAACTTCAAAAACTATAATCACATTGCCCAAATGATACTGCGAAAAAAGAAAAAAAAGTCTCATGCAAACATGCGAATACGTACCAGAACTCGTCTTCCTCCAGGTCAGACTCTTCACTGCTCTTGCATTCTTCCGAGTCGAGTTTTTCTCGTCCTCTTCCTCCTTTCATACACGACCCTAAAACGCCACGCTCGATGCCACACACGCGATCATACAGCAGCTCGTACAGGATCGCTAGAGATGGAGAAACGGTTCGGTTCGGATACTGAAGGCATGTCGCAGCATTAATTCACTGAATAAAGAAGAAGCACTCGCACTCACACTGACAAACAGCAGCACTTTTCTCAAAAGATTGTGGGTAAACACTGTCATAATGGTTTCCATTGAGGAAGCACAGTCGCACCTGAGAGAGAGAGAGAGAGAGAGAGAGAGAGAGAGAGAGAGAGAGAGAGAGAGAGAGAGAGAGAGAGAGAGAGAGAGAGAGAGAGAGAGAGAGAGAGAGAGAGAGAGAGAGAGAGAGAGAGAGAGAGAGAGAGAGATTTATTTCAGTGTTACGGCGATAATTTATTTTTTTAAATAATCTTGCATGAATGCAAGTCTGCACCTTATCAGGAAAGCCATTCTCTGTGATGTTAACGGGTGGTTGATCAGGCACCTGGAAAATAATGAAATCATGCCTGGAAGAAATAAACATTACACCATCAGAGATAGTAAACCAACAGTTTAGACTTTGTTAATATAAAAAAAACACACTAATCTTTTGATATTAAAAGTAAAGCCGCTATTGTTGTTACACTAAAGCAGAGTTCAGAGTCAGACTGACAGCAATATTATGTGAACAGAAATCATTTGATTTCAATGCAATGTAAGGTTGTCGAACAATGCAACAAAGTTGAGAATTGATTATGCAAATGAGCCGCATTGCGGTGGATACCAATGGAAGTAAAGACACTGGAGTTAAAGTGCCCTTATTTTGCTTTTTCTGATATTTCCTTTCATGCAGTGTGTAATAAAGCTGCTTGTGAATGTAAAAGTTCTGCAAAGTTTCAAAGCTCAAAGTGCAGATAAATAGAGACTGCTGAAACAAGTCGTGAGTAATTCCAGTCTTACTTCCTGCTCTATCTCACTAGGGTTGTAACAAATTTGCATAGTTGCACAACGAACAGACTGGGCCATCTGACCAATCAGAGCAGAGTAGACCAATCACAACAGAATGGGCCATCTGACCAATCAGAGCAGAGTAAACCAATCATAACAGACTGAGTCATCTGACCAATCAGAGCAGAGTAGACCAATCATAACAGACTGAGCCGTCTGACCAATCAGAGCAGAGTAGACCAATCACAACAGACTGAGTCATCTGACCAATCAGAGCAGAGTAGACTAATCACAACAGACTGGGTTATCTGACCAATCAGAGCAGAGCAGACCAATCATAACAGACTGAGCCATCTGACCAATCAGAGCAGAGTAGACCAATCACAACAGACTGAGTCATCTGACCAATCAGAGCAGAGTAGACTAATCACAACAGACTGGGTTATCTGACCAATCAGAGCAGAGCAGACCAATCATAACAGACTGAGCCGTCTGACCAATCAGAGCAGAGTAGACCAATCACAACAGACTGAGCCGTCTGACCAATCAGAGCAGAGTAGACCAATCACAACAGACTGAGTCATCTGACCAATCAGAGCAGAGTAGACCAATCACAACAGACTGGGCCATTTGACCAATCAGAGCAGAGTATCCCTTGGAAAGACTGGTTTAGGGTACCGAAACTTTTATCAAAACGTTTTCAGACTCTTTAAGAAAAGAGCTGATGCTGCAATGTATATTTCGAGAAAATTAAAGTGTTTTTAACCTTGGATGCAAGTAAACCGTTTGCAGAAGACTCCAAAACAAAATTATGAACATTTAAAATGGCATAATTGAGGCACTTTAAGAGAAATTCATGTTACTGTGACCTATTTGATTGTTTTATATGATTTGTTTCACCCCATATGCTGGAATGTCATTTAAAAAAAAATGATGCATGGAAAACTATATCAGAAATCTTGCATTCCTTTAATTCATGCATTGATAATCTTGTTCATCATATGATGCATTTTGCACTGCTGTGATTTACATACAAACACTTTTCCCTCCAGGATCATCATTTATAGCAACAAGAAAACCGAATCATTGTCAAATTAGACATTTTATAAATCCCATTTTGAGCAAATGAGCATAATGCACAACTGGCCATTCCCTGTCAGTGAACAAGACATCATCACAGTTCATGCCTGAAAATATGCAGTTAAAATACATAAGTAAATGTAATATTCTCACTTATAGAGCTCAGCCAGAACGGTGATCTCCACCTGTCCAACCCAGCTCTAAACGGATGGAGGAATAAAGAGAAAGAGTGTTAGAAATGTCTACATTTTAACATTAAAAGAGTCTGTGAAATCATCACAACCAATGCTTTATAAGAAACTAAAGCTAAAGCACTATAAGAGCGTCTGCCTGAATGTACAAAGTTTAGTTGTTACCTGAGGATCCCGTAAATTCTCCAGGTATTTCTCAAAATCGCCTTCGATAAACTACCACACACATTGAGAAAGAACAAAGACAAGTTTAATACAACAGGTCAGAGGTCAACTGACACTTCTGATGTGTTCATAATGTAATGTAAAAAGTAAATATATGAATATAAAATGTATTTTTAGTCTCACCAGCTCATAGTTAGATCTGTTCTGTTTCAGATAATTCACACAGGCCGCACGCACTTTTGTGTGTAAACCCTGGCACTTCAACACCTGTCAATCAAACACACACACACACACACACACAGAGACACACACACACAGAGAGACACACGCACACGCACACACACACGCACACACACACACACCTGTCAGTCTGTATATCTATACTGAAAAATATATGTCGGCCGGAGTCATAAACATTCCGTTTATTACACTTCATTCAGTTGTCACAACCTGGAATATCAGGTTTATCATTCAGAATACAAAATGCAAACTTCATAAGTGATGATTCAGCAATACTTTATCTCAACTGTATCATTGAGTCCATTATATAATTTGAATGTATTAAAATCATTAATAATTAAATATGAATAACAGTAATATTACAATCTCGAGACATATCCTTAAGTTCATCTAACAAATAATCAATATTTTATACGGTTAGGCTAAATAAAACATCTGAAACTACATAGGCCTAATAACTTCGAATATGAATGAATATGTATGTTTACATTTAATAAGAATAAGGAAATTAGTATAGTAAGGCACCTGATCAGGTAATGATTGTTTAATAAATTGTGTCCTGCAGGGATTTACGAACCTGTACAATATCTTAATAAAATTAATATTTAATAAATCATTCATATCAAACTTCGTGGGAATTTAAGCAAAATCAAGACGACAACCGATAATATGAAACTTTAATGATTATAGTTTAGATACTTAAATCATAACTTTTAGAGATTAAAAAAGTAATCATTTAAATATGAAGCATTTAATAGTATTTAAGCAGAAATAAACCACACCCATGTTGTTATTATTATTAGTGCATGTTAGCATAAACTGCTAGTGTGCTAAAGCTAATTAGCTTCACATAAACTAAAAGGTGATTTTGACAAACCGTAGAAACTACAAACCGTGACATTTAGTTCACAAGTGCTATGAAAACAGGGAAGTAAGTTTTACTTCAGTTACTTTGAGTGACATTTTAAGCACTCGGTGACACACATTTAAGGCGTATTAGGGACGTTTTAAGTGTATTTGAATTTGTTGGCTGTCTTTATAAAAATTAAAATCGTAACACATTAAAAATTGGGGTTGTTAATATTAGTATCAGTCTTCTGACCTGCTCTGCCACGGCCCTGAACAGACATGACCCGTCCTTGGCGATCTTTTTGCGGTAAAAGCCCAGCGAGCGCAGGTACTCGTCCATGCGGGACTCGTGCGTCCTGTCACCGGCCAGCTGCTGTTGAGCGCCCGCTGATGCCGCCCGGAGCTCCATGATGATCCACTCCAACACAATCCCAATATATATCACACTATATCTGCAGCTCGAGTTTCCTTACCATCCCTGCACTCCAGCTAAATGCTCCTGATGGACTGGATTTACTGGATTTGCTTTTGATTTCAATGCAAAGCAAAGTTGAAGCTGTTTCTGGTTCAGTTGCATACACGAGCACACGCGTCCAGGGCTGAATATACTTTATAATCCCAGGTGATCACGAGCGCGTGAAGCAGGTAAATGTGCAGTTTCTTAAGGCATTACGACACATTTACGAAAATAAAAGGAACCGAGTGATTTTCGGGAGACGCTGGGAGATGTAGGCGAAAAAGAAAGTGAAACTACACAACCCATGTTGCACCCACAGCATCTGAACTGAAAGAGAAAGTAGCAAGTAAATATTACATAAATAAATAAAATATACATTTAAAATACAAATGCTAATTGAGGATAAATAATAATGTATTATAAATGAATAAAGTAAATATGTGAACATCTTGAATCAGATACCTTCCATTTTATAGTTATATTAATATTAGTATATTGATATATTATGTATTTATTTACTAATTTATAATATATTGATATTATAATAATTTAGGTCCTTGTGTGAACATCTCGAATTATATCTTAACTATCCCGATTATATTTCTAATATTTCTTAATAGCCTACATATTATTTAATACAGGCTATATTTTCTTTCTTTTTCTTTTTTTCCTCGTACATAAAAATAAAGGCTATATAAAATGGCAAAGATGCCTTCTATATTTCTGTTGATATAAGGATCATGTTAGAGTAAGACTTAGTATTTTGTATTAAATATTTTAATATAGGGTAGGCTAAATATAAAAATAATTGTTTATATATTTTTTGTGATCACGTGACTCACGATCTTCTTGCTCAGTAGAGCTGGTTGTCAAAACAATTCAAAGGTTGCCTCGTCAATTTATTTCGATCTGACTGATTCGCACATTTTACTGATATTTGGCTTATTATTCTCGTCCATCTGAATCTTGAAACACATTAAAAATTCCACCTAAAACACACGCTAAGGGTAAAGAGACTATCTGTGAAAGTATTATTTTATAGTCAGTGTTTGGGTGAATGTTCATTGGCATGTTAACGTGTGTATCAGGTAAACAGCTATATACCAGGGGCCCGTTTCAGAAAGGAGGTTAAGTGAAAACTCTGAGTATGTTAACCCTGAAATGAGGGAAACTCTGAGTTTTCCGTTTCAGAATGGGAGGTATGTCAAACCTGAGAAAGCAGAGTAAGTCAAGCCAGTTTCTGAAAGAGAGGTAACTCATACTCAGAGTCAGTTACCATGGTAATTTACTCTTTGAACCTAACCTGGTCGGGAGCAGGTTTTCCTCTGTAAACCCAGAGTTTCTTGCGGTCTCCTCCCCTTTTTTAAAGAGGAAGCAGTGTTTAAACACCAACAATAATACTACAATTTATTTAAACATTATTTAAGGAATATATATATATATATATATATATATATATATATATATAGCCTATATATATATATATATTGTTTGTCCATGGTTTGATTGACTAAATCTGTTT